TAGACTTCACAGAGGACCATTCGACGACCTCCTGGCAATTAGAACCAATGATCTCAATACTGGCGAATCTTCACTGTTCAATACTTTGTGCTTTTTCGATCCGGAGGGTGTTCAACAAAGGTTCTTGTTGATCGGAGAGGGCGGGACTGAGCTGCCCCTTCGAAATTTTCCTCGCGATGAAAGTAAGCTTCACAGTAGTTTGAAGCACTTATGGTGCTCTTCCTTGGTTGAGATCAAAGAAGAGAGAACAGTTCACTATGTTCACCAAACAGTCCAAGATTTTGTGAGGGCCCGCATGGATAGTCAGACATTCAATGATGCTTTTTCAACCGCTTCTACATTATGTCAAGCACAATGGCCACCGAAGCGCAAATTTCAGAACATTGTTAAGGGATTTTGGCCCCAATTTGACTCGATCCACTCGCAAGTTCAGTCGCTTGTACACTCATTGCGAACAACTAGACACATTGTCTCGGATGCCAACGATGATTTTAAGCAACTTCTCATTCATCATAGCTGGTTTGTTGCCTTCCTTCAAATTTGAGCGAGCGCTAAACAGGTTACAAAGGTATAACTCACGTCGAGGGAACCATGCCGAGGACCTTGACCTTGCGCAACTCGCCTTTTCGCTCTTCATGACTTCCTCGGCCAACTTGGACCGGGAGACTCTAAGCACACCTTTACCACGACGCTGCATCAAATTGGGATTCGAATCTAACTCCTTCAATCCGCACTTGGTTGACACAGGTCAAATTCATGGTCCATATGCCGCCCTCAGTTACTGCTGGAACTTTCAGGAACCGCAAACAGCGCCTTGGGAACTCACTTCGAAGACCCTAGACCTGTACAAACGAGGGATTAATGTTGATGCGTTGCCACTTCACCTCAGGGACGCTATGGCACTTACTCGAAACCTTGGTTATGAGTACCTCTGGATAGACAGCATTTGTATTGTGCAAGACAGCCCTGAGGATATCGCAGAGGAAGCATCGTGTATGCCTCTCTACTATGCAAACTCTGTCGCTGTTATTGCTGAGTTGAGAGTCCCAAAATCAGTTCAGGGATCTCTAGATTTCAACCAAGATATAGTGGACATTGCGCAGTATTCGTTATACAAAATGCCACGTATATCAATCGAGCAGAATAAGGGAACTATTCGAGGCTGGGCATACCAAGAAAGCTTGTTGCCTCCTCGAGCCTTCACCATGAACAGCCTGGAAGGAGCATGTCGCAAATGCCACGGCCCAAGGGCAATATCCGAATGCGGTCGCAACTTGTTCCGAATTGAATTTAGCTCCTCTGACGTCCGTTGTCTTCCCTCCCAAAATGAAGACATTCCAGCACCTCAAGTGACGGAATCTCAAGTAACGAAAACGCAAACTTCAGCAATGACCGAAGCGCAACAAGCGTTCGACAAAGGACATCGAGCAATGTTGGAGAACTCATTTGTTGAAGCGGCGGCAACCTTGACACTATCGAGAGATATTCTGACCCCTATGCAGTCATATAGGGATGACGCGAAGCTCTTACATGCCCTTGCAACCGCCATGCTTGGCACGTCATACCATTTGATGAACCTTAGCAGCCTTGCACTGGGAATAATGAAGACGGAGAATCAATTGTATTTGCAGAACATGCCGAGAGAAGAAACCGGGGCTTATGAGTGAGGCCCAAGAGCGCTGTACCAAAGGATGTTGCTGACTTCAATGTACAGAAAAGGTCGTATCTTGCTGGCCATTGGAATCTGTCTCTTAGACCTGGGCAAAACAGAAGAAGCACGAGAAAACATGGAATTTGCTCGCAAGTTGCTGCTTGGGTCTGATGGCATCACCAATGAGTTGTCCGCCGCCATCAATATCAAGCTCTCTGATTGCGCTTTGGCAGGCAAAAAATTCCCCGAAACTCGGTAAGTTATTTACTTTGCCTCATTATTGCTACAAGCAGCTAACCAGCCAGTGCTCTATTACAGTCCGCCCTGGACTACGTCCAAGGCGAGACATCGGAGTCAAGTAAGAGGCAATTGCCTCGTATCTTACATCGACAGAGCCTCGTCTACGAAGCAGAGAAGAACACAATTATGTGCAGTGCATTTGCTGCTGCGGCCCGCGATGCTATGGCACAGGTCACTCCCGCCTCTAAGACTTCTGAAGCCAGAGTAGCCACCACGGCCTTGGAAGAAAGCATGTTCGACGACCTTGTAGAGCCTTGGTTTCGCTGAAAAGACCTCATGCAAGTCAGCTTTGCTTTGAATGACTTACTCAAAAGCCCTGCACACGGGCACCGTCCCGACATAGTTCAGGCAAGAAGGAACCCGAGAAGCTAAGAACCTTCGAGCAAGTGATTAATGCCTTCGTCCAGGGACAATAGGCCATCAGGCAGTCTCGTTGGGCTGATATTCGGTCACTTCAGACTCGCCAGACATGAAGTTTCGGGCGCTATCGTAACATGGAAAGAGGCAGGAAGCGACGATAGTTGCAGCTGCATTACAGCGATACGTCTCTGGAGTCATCTAGCCTCATCGCCTCGCCCATAACAAGTCTTTGCACTCCCTGCCATCGCATACATGGAGTCAGACTCGGTCGGATTCTAAGTTTGCCGGATATTCGAAACCTCCTACCTGAAAGTCAGACGGGTGGGTCTAATATTGGCAACATCCGATAAAGGTGTAAAATTTGTTGTAAATGCAATCGAACAATTGCTGCAGAGAGCAAAGATGCAAACACTATATATCTATATCTTCCATATGACACTAGGCCCAATTTATCCTTCGATCAGTGGAACCAATTCGAAGTCAATTATATATAACTTGATAAACCGTCCAACACCAGACGAGACAGACGGCGTGAAAAACTTGACAACTTGCTCGGAATTATAAAAGACGCCAACACTTTGCAATACCGCAATAAGATACAGATATGTATAACAAATTTTATTTTGTAGAAAGACATGTTCTATGCGTGAAGTCTACTAAGCTACAAGAACGAGGAAAGTGTTATGTTATTATGAATTAGGGCGCTAGAGGCTCGCTTGGAGAGTTGGTCCGTGCTCTTGAGGTTATTGCCAACTTCCTGCATCTGTACTTTTAGTTTTCCTCTTGATAGTTATCTTTGTTAATAGAATTCTTATATCAATGCTCTACCCGAACATGACTATTCTTCCATAGCGAGTATGATATCATTTTGGCCTCCGACCGGTCGTAGTCTCTCTGTTCAGTGGTGAGGTTCCTGTTGCAGATTTTCAGGGGCTGTCAGCGTCTCATAACCCCTGTACAGGAACTCGCTGTAGCCACCGCCACTTTCTACGCGCCAAGGCACGAAGCTTGTATCGTCTCAAGTTCTTACAGTTTTAGGGGTTTGGGAGTCAGGAATACATCTCCGACACCTCATGTTTTGGCTTCTCTTAACTCGCTGTGTGCCGTGTAAGATCAGCTTAAGATGTGACCGGGAGGCATCAGATGCGTCAAGGACCACCATGCTATTGGTTTCGGTCGGTCTAGCTTGCGGTTTTCGCCAAGTGGCAGTACATATCCAGCACGGTAACCTCAATTTCGTAATTTTCTTCGTTCTTCTTCTCGTTCTTGGTCGTCTTGCATATTCCCTCGCATTTCCCACCATTTCCCCTCATTTGTGAGCAATCGTTGCCGGTCAACCAAACAATATACCTTCCTACCTAATCTCTAATTCCTCCCGCAACTTCCCCAATCTCACAAAGTCAGAACCAGCATACCGACTTGACTTCTCCAAATTACGAATCGAAACTACTCAAGATGTTTGGCTGGCTCACGACCGATACCCGGGTGGATACCTCTGTTGATAAGATAATAGCGGGCAATAGATCAGCGGAGCTGGTACTACTCATCATGTGGATAGGGTCGTTTTGGGTCATGGCGATGATATGGTTCACCGCCGCTCTTGCCGACCGCTGGCGAGGGCCTCACGGAACCTCGAAGGTTGGATTTGCGGGGGTAGTAGGGGCTTTCCTTTGCTCGGCCGCTTGGCCTCTGGTTGCGATATACTTGTTTACTTCGACTTGATGACGTCGAAGCAATCAAGTTCGGACGAGGTTGATGGGGGTCATTCTGTAGGATTGTACGGTTGCTTGGTATATTACGGGGTTGCTTAAGACACAACGTTCGACTTGCGCGAAAGGTCTAGAGGCGCTGGTGGTGCTCTACTGCTTCGTTGTCAAATTGGAATTGCTCCTCAACTTTCCCAGATTTGCTGCTTTGAGTTGCTTCTACCCTGGCAAATTAGATTCAATACAGGATATCGGTTTCATGGGAATTATCTTAGTCTACCGGTACTCATTAGTACTTTCTCTTCTATTGGTATTTTACTGGTTGCAAAGGCAAACCCCATCCCTCATACACTTGCTCCCTTGAAGTCCTCGAGGACTCTATTAATCTATCAGAATATATGTTTGACTTGTGCTTAGGAATTAATGTAAGTTTCAGAGAAGAAGAATAACGTCCGTCCCCACGTCCCAAGACGCGCCCTATCATAAGACAAATCTTTAGTTTTGGGATCACGAAATTTTCCTTTATTAAGTCTGCGAAGTTACTACTAATATATTACTTTCTTTAACTATTTCTCTCTATAGAAACTACTTGGTAATGAGAAAAAGAGTGCAGTTAATTATACTATCAATTATTTTAATCACGCTACCAATCGCCGCTTCTCCTATCCCCCCTATTAAATCGCGACTATCAAAGTCTTTTTATAATTCAGAGCACTCAAGGAAAGATCCTATCCCAAAAAATAATGGCTCTCACATACGCAGCACTAACTCAAGCAAGAGTCGGAGTTTGCGGCTGCTGTGGTGGAGGGAAGCCAGTTTCAAAAGCGACTGTGACTTACCACAGCAAATTCTGGCCTCTTTTCACCATTTCCTCCACCATGGCACCATGGTGCCAAACTTCAGCATGCTTAAGACATGAGATTGCAGTATGGTACTAGAAACATAATCGCTAAATTAATAACGAAATCCAGGTTTAAATCGACTTAGTCAAACATTTCTTTGACTATTCGGATGTCAAATGCGTCATTCGGCAGGGGAAGGAAGGCATCGCCCCATTTGTTCATACTTTGCTTTCGTGATTGTAATAGTCCAGCTGCACTTATATATCTTCGGAGCTCATCTGGTCTGCGGGCCCATTCTGGGCAGTATCTATTGTCATCTCTGAGATCTCCTTCGGTGATTGTCATCATTAATAAACTTTATCCAAAATAAAAGTTATTACAGTACTGCAGAAGAGACTCTTACCTTTTATTTTCCGGGCTTTGAATGTTAGGAGTATTAACATCATATGAATTGTTTCGAAGGTATTGAAACATCTCGCCACGTCTGACGCAAGCTGAACCTCTCGAGGCGTCGTTCGTTGCTCGATGGACCAGCCCTCCCGCAATTCTCGCACACGGTTCGTCCATCTCTCTTTACCCTGTACCTCGGCGAACTCAGGATATAGATCATACAGGCCAGACTCCTCCAGAGTTTCTAAAGAGACCACACATGATCGACTGGCATGGTCCACTGATCCTTGAGAAAGGTATTCTCCGTTGTGGTATCTTGTATCCTCGAGACGGAAGCGGAAGAACTTCTCTGTCTCCCCACCCACTTGTGCAGCAGTGTCGCGATAAGCTCGAAGAAGCCACATATCCGGCGCAAATTGCCCTTGCGGGAATCTCCTGGTATCTACCATGCAGATTTTGATGTCCGCTGGTTGGCAGCCAAACTTACGGCGTCTCCAGATCGCGTATTGAATTGCGAACAGTAGAGAGCTTGTCCAGGACATTAGGTTATCGGAGTCTTCCGCACCCCAACACTTTTTAGTTAGATGGGTGTGTAGCATGTCTATTACTTCGTCCTTTGGAAGAGACAGAATATCCTTTCTGCTCTCTTCTGGCGACTCGGTAAAACTCGCCATCGAAGCCACTATGTTATCATCGCTTCTTCCTGAGCTCTTCCCGTCAAACGTCCGGAATAAGTACTGTGGGATATCTGTAGTCGCAAACATTTGAAGTTTGACCTCGTAGCTTGCTGGTGGGTAGAACAGCGTCGGTCCGTTAGGGCATCCGTGAAGGACCAACACCCAAAAGTCGATCCAACTCTGCTCTTCCCTCTTCCTTCCCTCCCGTCTCTGTTTCATTCGTTCCTCCATGGCCTTGGCATAATCCTCGTCGATCTCCAGGCGATTTTCGTGTTCATAATATTCCTCGGCCTCATAATCAGGGTCGTGTGGCCATCCAAGAAAAGTCTCGTCGCGCTGAACGAAATAATTATCGGGATGTAGTGTGCCAGAGTAACTAGTCGCTTGGTTGTAACACTCCTCAGCGATCTTCCATAGAACGCAGTTGCCATAGCCAGAGTTACTCAGGACACCTCTGACAATGCTTCGTATTTGCTCGTCGAAGTGTGATAATAAGCGCTGAAGCAGAGACCCGTCGCGGACGTTAGCCCTATCCTGACCCCCAAGGGAAGCGAGAAACGTAATGATAGACAGTTCCGCCGCATCTCTGAGCGTATTGGCGGTGTCATCAAGAATACGAGTTACTTCTGTAACCTCGCTAGCTATTCTGCAAAGCGAGTAGATTCCTGTGTTATCCAGACTATCACGGTGGATGATTGAGCCAGCTAAGACACGAACTCGTTCCGCTTGTGAGGAAGTGATTTTGGCAGACTGATCGAGCAATTGGATTGAATCTTGAAGAGATGAGCTCGAGTGACCATGAATCTGGCCGTCGACCTCAGATGTCTTGTGAGCGATTCTCAATTCTTCCATCAAACTCGTAACAGCATTAACATGAAGTGCCATTATAGTCGATTCAGTTCTTGCTGAACGGAAGCTTCTTTGTAATGCAGGTTGAAACTGGAGTTTGCAGAGGTTGGATTGCTGGTCAGACTCATGTGCGGGGTGGACACCGTGCTGCCAGACGAAGGGATAATGATTTCTTGAACTTTCCAAAGGCATGTGACCGGCAGCATGTAAGCTGTTGCCTGATCGCTGCCTGTCACTCGCCTCCTTCACAACACCATCACCACAGTAGGATAATATGGACAGAGCCAGTCAGGTACTAGCGCAAAGCGTGCCTCCTAACATGACTAGATCGTACCGTGCTCTTGCAGATCATGGCAATGTTCCTACACTCTACACTCTATTATTAGGATCGCGGATAACCCTTAATAGAAGAGAAAGCCTAAGGCTAATAGTACCTTAAACTATATAAAGAAAAATTTATTATTACTTATCTACTTTAAATATCCGAATTATAACTAAGTTAATTAACTTAATTAAAAAGTGTAAATATGATCAGTAAGAAGCACTTTATCTTTTTATATAGCTTTATAAAGAAAATAGCATTTGCGCTAGAGAATACTAAGGTCGGCTTTGCTATAAAAAGGCCATTTTATTTAATCTAGATAGAGTGCTTAGAAGTGTACTTGCTCCTTTAGCTAAACTAGCTAAACTAGCTAATCTGAAAGTTAATAAAGTGAAAGTAGAGTTTTATTAGTAAGACATAGAACCATAAACGCCTATAACGCTAGTATTAGTAAAGGCTTTTAAAAAATATTACTATAGAACCTAATAATCTAATAGGATGCTTAAACGCTTAATAAAACAAGTAAACAGAACCTAGTAAAGCACTTATAGAAATATACTAAAGCTTTCTAGAAATCCTCTGCTTAGGACATCTTCTAAGAGGACTGAACTTAATTCCTAACTATAATTAATAATAAAGCTAAGGTTTGATGATCAACTAAGTTATTAGTACTAGGAAAGGCGAAGGTTATAAGCTATAAGGACCTTAAGGAAGCACGAGCGAAGCGTGTCGTAAAAGAAGCTACCTAAGCAGCTAAAGGCAAGGAGAAACGAGGTTGGAAGCATAAGAGTGATACGCTCGAGGCAGAGGAAGATATAACAGAGACGGCGAGACGTAGTTGGAGGCGCAAAAGCGGTACGCAAGAACCGCCTGAGCCAAGCAGTAAGGTGGCGCGAGCAATAGTGACAGCCTCTGTGATACAGATGAGCGGGACACCAATTGCGGAAGATAAGATTGTGCCAGAACCATGGAGAGCTCTAGTGGCGCGGATGTATTGGCGGGTAAGGAGACTGACGCACGATATTTAATAATAGACTGATCCTTGGTTGAGGCAAGCTTAGCTGGCTTCGAGACTTATTGCTATATAGTAGAGTCAATCTTCGATAGGTTTTCATACGGTTGGTTATACCTTCATTCGCTATTATGCTTACCATTATTATGCTCGCTATCATCATGCTCGCTATCATCGTGCTCGCTATCATCGTGCTCGCTATTCATGCCCCCATTTTATATCTTAGGCAGTATTGCCTCTTATTAATGTGCACATCATCTTCGTGCTATATTATCACGCAGAAGCACTTTCCTAGGAAGAGGATAGCCGATTGTATTAGCTGCGCACAAGGTCACTTTTTGCTCTAACTTAAACGGAAGCTATCAGGAAAAAGGAAATTTTCGATAAAGTAGACGCAGCCACAACTGTTATAGCCACTGCCCGTTCGTCGTAAACTTAAGACGCATCTGCCGAAAACCGTCGATTTCTCATTACTAGTAGTGGTAACATTTTAGTTATTTAAAAGCTCAGAGAAGTCGAGGTATTGCCGAAAGTGGTCCTATTTGCTAAATATACTTTAGGATCATGACATTTTATCCTTTCCATTCTACTTAGTCACAATTAAACAAATTGAGGGGTTCCTCGAGGGATTATGGACGTAACCTTAAATGTTTGGGTTTGGCGAAGTAATCTAGAATAATAGTGACGGATGTTCGACTCTAAATGCCTAAATGCTTGGTAGATGATGCCGCTTAGATGTTGGACCTGCATTCAAGATCTTTGCTCATAGGGTAACTTCCCCGTCGTGATGCCATGGTCAAGTGAACAGCGTCACTTTCAAAATACCGATTTCCAATTGCAATCTTTCAGTCTTGGGGGGACTTAACGTAGGATTTAGAGCCAAGTGATTCGCACTAGGGGGCAAAAGTGGAAAATAAACGTCGGTGGGACTACGATCATCTTTTAAATAAGCGAATACCCCCTTTACTCGCTTAACCATGAACCAACATCAGCCTAAAGAGCTGGGTAAGATTGACACTGGCTTACAAGTCAAATCCTCACATCCAATCTGTCTATACCTATATGATAGATTATAGTACAGAGCCAAACTGGGACTCATTTCCATATTTGGCGAAATGAAAAGTGCCCAAAGATCCAATGGCGAAACTCTAATTCAGTGCCGTTTCAGGCTTCGCTCGCTAAAGGGTTATTAGGCTGTGTCGACGTCGACCCCCAGTAAGGCGGTAGTTTTCCCTAAAGTGCCGTCTGTCCTCAGTTAAATTAGCCAAGAATCGTGATTGGCTCAAATCGCGCAAAAGAGCTCCCTTCCAAATTTAGCCATAGCCAAATAATCGGGACTCACTGCATGTTTCCACCGCGGACTCAGAACGTATTTGGAAATTGCGGGGTGCAGCTTCCGAACAGCCATCAAATCTGCTGAACACGGGCCATTTATGACACCATGCGAAATGAAATACCCCTCCCCCAAGAACAGGAAACCTATGGCTGTTTTAAATTAATGTCACGTCCTTGTTCAATAGGTGTGTTTTTCCGTCGGCATGAGAGTATAAAGGTAAAGTGTTTGCCTACGAAAATAAAAGCGAAGTTTTGCCTACGTGAAGAAGCACTTAACATTGCAATCTTTAAACGTCAATATGGTCTCGTTCTCATCACTTTTGCTTGTGGCCTCTGCTGCCATCGCTGGTGTTTACGCCGCCCCTCATTCATCAGCTGGTAACGTCCTCGCTCCCCGCGACGGAACTCCAAGCAGCACTGGCACCAACAACGGATTCTACTATTCCTTCTGGACGGATGGAGCAGGCAATGTTACCTACTCGAACGGAGCAGCTGGTACATACACCGTGGTGTGGTCAGGTGACGCTGGTAACTTTGTTGCTGGGAAGGGTTGGAACCCCGGAGCCGCCAGGTATTGTGCATGCATCCTCTTTTCTTTGAAATTATGATTGATTGATCATTCCATCTGACATTACATGAGCAGAACCATAAATTTCTCCGGCGCCTACAACCCGACCGGCAACAGCTACCTATCCATCTACGGCTGGACGACGGACCCCCTCATCGAGTACTACATCGTCGAGAGCTTCGGCACCTACGACCCCTCCAGCGCCGCCACACAGAGCGGCAGCGTCACGGCCGACGGCTCGACGTACAAGATCCTCGAGACCACACGCACGAACGAGCCGTCTATTGAAGGTACCGCGACCTTTCAGCAGTACTGGTCCGTTCGCGAGACCCATCGCACTTCGGGGAGCGTCAATGTCACGGCGCATTTCGAAGCGTGGGCTGCGCTGGGAATGACCTTGGGTACCCATAATTACCAGATCCTTGCCACGGAGGGGTATCATAGCAGTGGGTCCGCTACCATGACTGTTTCCTAGGCGCTGTTTTAGGTCAAGATGCGGTTCTTGGGGATTGTGATGGCCTGTTGTGTGAGGGTTTGGAGATGTACATAGGAGGGCCAAGGGATTTAGCTACCTACTTATTTTCGTGTATATACACCTAGTCAACTGAATATGAATTTGCGCTGATTAACTGGGATACTTGTACCTTGACCTTGAATGATGACTTGGAAGTATATAGGTATCAAATCCTCAAGATCTGCACTTCTCGCCTTCTCCCATTAGCTCTATCCCTTGGAATGCTACCAGTGCGTGGAATGATCAATCGCAGTGAAAGTGAAAAGTCTTTCAGGCTAAATCAACTCTTGAATAGGCTATCTTGATTTGCTTTATAGTTAATGATTGTAGACTACAATACACGGAAACAGAACAGGAAATGAGGAAATGAATATAATTGAGTATCAAACGTGACTTTGAATTAATAGTAGTACACTAGAAGAACCCTTTAGCCACTTAGCAGTATTGAGGTAAGAAAGAGATTTTCACTGACTTGTTCCTGCACATGAGACGTTCACAAACCTAACCCGTCTCCATCCGTGAAATGAATTATATGCATCTGATTTGATCTTATCTTGGAAAAATATCAGACGGAAACCCTGCGAGTGGCTTCATTTAGCTGCGAGGAGCCCGGCTTATCGATCTACATTCTCAATCCACCCAATGTTTCCCAAGATACTCCTACTAACGCCGTAATACCCGCCGGTTTATTGCAAACAAAGCCCTTCAAATCGGAGCATTTCTATAGACAAAATCAAACAGCACCGATATCCTTCAACGCCCCCGCAAGCCGTCTATAATCTCTTAGAAGCTCAAGTACCTCGTTGAGCTTCATATCGCCTGGATTTTGTATCTCCATGAATCTTTTGATTGGTGGTGCAATCTTGGGGATTTCTTTGGGTGGCAGTGATGGTGCGAGTTCTGGGAAGGTCTGAAAGATGTTAGTATATGAGGTCGAAGAAATGATGAGAAACCTTACGCTCGTCAAATCAGCAATACCACCATCGGCTATTGGTTTATTGCCTGGTGTGGCGGGAGTTGAGGGTGGTCGTCCGAACCCAAAGCCTCGCGTCATGTTCATGCTCGAAAACCGGTTAATGGGGTTTAGTGAGTTGCCTAGATTCCGCATCGACTCCACGATTGCAGGATTCGCTGGCGATGCAGGATGGTGCAATGGCGGAGGGTGCAATGGCGAGGAAGGCTGCTTCTCACCACCTTCCTCGGCGAATGCCACTTTCTTGCTACTACTCGCACTCTGCGAGCTGTCTGTACTTCTGTCTCGAGCAGCCGCCTTGCGGCCTCCAATCAAATTTAGCATCTTATCATCCGGTTTGAGTGCAGAATCTCTACGCGGCCGCCCTGTATTCTCTGGGCTGTGAAGCGAGCTGGCACCACTGGCTGATGCGTCGTCTTCAGGAGGAGGCGTGCTGACGAGTTTTCGAGCATCATCTAATGTCTTGGGGACAATGATATCAGACGGCTTTCCTGTAAGTTCCTCCTGCCGTTCCTTGAGCTTCCCAAGCAGGAACTTATAGGAACCCTCAAGGGAGAGCCCGATTGACTTGAACCCTTGGTCTGCTGTATTCAGAACTGCGTCTCCAGCTGCGCCAAGCACCGCAGGTGGCTGGAACATGTCGCTGATACTGCGGTTGTGCTGCACGGATGGTCGAGCACCTGTAGGAGACGATGGAGTTGTGGTGATGGTGGGACTAGCACTTGTGGCAGTGACCTCGGCGGGCGATAACCCGGCTGTAGTAAGATGCGCAGGAGTCATCGAATTAATTGTTTTTGGAGTAGATGGGCGACTGTTGGACTTTGGTCCAGAAAGAGCCTCGTCCTCTCTCAGAGTTGCTAAATCCACGGTCTCGAGAAACGTGATAGCAGCTTCCAAATTTGTCAAACAATACGCAGCTTCCCCATCAATCTTATTCTCATTTCGAAATCTCTGGATGAAATGTAGATTGCTGATAACATCAATACCTTCAGGGCGAGATGTAATTAGAGTATAGATAAGCATAGGCATGATCTCGTCCGCCGAGGAAGATGGATGGAAATGTGATAAAGTGTCGACGATGCTTTTGTGTGCTGCTTTAAGATGGACAAGCTTTCCAAGAGGATACTTCTCGTTACTCATAGCCATCAGCTCATCTCTTGCTCCTTCTAGCCATGCTCGGACTTCTTTTTCTCTGGTTTGCATCGCTACTGGGTCCTTGGTTGCTTGTCCCAAATCAACATCTAGATCGTTGAGACCAATTCCAACTACTGATAAAGCTGCAGTCTTGGAGCGCAACTTCTCATCCTTTTCCTCATCTGTAGTACTTCTATGTCTCCATATCCGATTGTAGATGCTCTCGCATACCCTCCTCTCGACAGCCTCTTCCAAAGCTACCCGCTTGTGCTCCAGGGCTTTCCTTGCTCGTTTTCGATCAGCTATTTCATCGGCCGTAAGCATCTGCTGTTCCGAATCGTTCCTTTCTGATGGGGGTCTAGAACGTTCTTTATTATTGCTAATCGAGACTGCCTTTGCTCTTATCTTACTCGCCGTAGAGGAGAGAGAGGACATCGAGGGGGACGGTGAACTTGCTCGGTGCTGGCGAGAGGAAAGTGCCGAGATATGTGTATTGATATGTGTAGCAGCAACGGCATAGAAGTCTTGAAATAGTGTAGATAACTTGTCGACCGTTGGCGGGGTAGGATGGATTTTGGCAGATAAGGAGTCGATGAAGCTACCAATAGATTAGTATCTGTAATATATTGGGGATTTTCTAGACTGACCCATCCGTCAGACTGACAAGCTCAATGGGAAGTTCATCAAAATCTGAAGGTAGCTTCCCGGAAGCCTCGCCTGTTTCATCCTCGGAGGACTTCTCGAAGGCATCCGCTTGCTTCTGAGGTAACCTCTGAGATTTATCTGGCATGGGTTCCTGTGGATCAAAGCCATTTTGTATGGTATTGGCCCGTTGAATTCGATTTGTATGATCTGGGCTGGGCGGTGCTAACTTGGAGAAGGACTTGGATGTGTGGATGGTTCGAGGACGTTGGGAGTCACTCTTCTTGTTTCCAGAGGAAGCCATGAAATCCGGTAGCTTGATGGCCATTTTGTCAGCAAAGGTGATCATTTTGGGGAAAAGCAGAAGGAAGGGGAGAAGCAGCCGGGAGAAGTATATATTACCTAGGAGCTCTCGCGGATCGCCGAGCAGTGTTGCATGAATGACAAGACCTGAAACTGCGGTCAAGCCGAGGACCACTTGGAAACGAATGTGGATAAAGAAATCGCAACTGTGAAGAAGAAGAAGAAGACGATATGTGTGAAATGTATTATTACATGTCCACAAAGCCAGAGATAATCCCAACTCCTGAGTGAAGAAGTCCCGGCCAGGAGTTATGCCTCACTCAATCTCCTAACCGCTGATAGGCGCGCGGAGAGTGAGTGCATTACTTCTACCTAGGATGACGCGCCACAAGACCCACAATGAACAGCCTAAGTATATCTAGTACCTATCAGCGCGAATATCTGAGCACTCATTGTCTCAACTGCCTGCCTGCCGTACAGTACGTGCCCCATGATAGATAGGTACCAGCCCAGCCAACCATACAGTACTGTACAACATCCCAGCAACACTCATCCCAGCAATCCACCCTACGCCTCTCGCGCCCACATGATGCAACGCCTCTTGCACGGTTTATGATCGCCTCAAGTCAAGTGCACATTGCATTCGGAGCAAGTCATCCACTTCATCGTTCGATATCACAGCTCTGCTATGTTTCTTTACCTTCACCAAGACCTTTTTTGAAGATGCCTATACACCGGCAATCAAGGTGCACTTCTGCTGGCAGAGTCACATCCCGAATGTTGCTCTCGTTCCTGTTGTTATCGGCACCGATAGCTGCATCTGGAGGGGATTTGGCCCGTCAACAACAACACCCAGCCCCAATTTTGCCTCCCATACCTGCGACTCCTCTAATTCAAGATCCTGGGCGTAACGAACATATATTTGTAGGTCATATTCTTGGAGTTTCGTACATTATAGCAAGCTAATATTCCAATAAACAGACCTTACGGCATGTCTTCCATCATGGCGACCTCAACCGCCCCACTCAGCATCTACGGCATGATGTTCCGAAAGAAGAGCCGTCTTTATGGATAGAAACAGAAGATGAAGGGACAGTTGAGGAGGTGAATCGGCCATTGGTTGTTCGAAGCAACTCTATAAACATACATCGATTAAAGGACCGACGCCCCTCGGTGGTAGACCCTATGGTGGCTGCAGCCCGGGAATACGACCAAGTATGGGCATCGTCACCAGATATTTGGACTTTCGATGAAGTCCGTGGGCCAAATATTACCGACCCCGAAACTATCTTGACTTTTGCTCAAATGGCAGCCAACGCCTATGTGGACGTCCCTGATACAGGCAATTGGAAGGATGTAAATGGGGGCTTCAATAGAACGGATGACCGGGGCTTTGGTTGGGACAGCGATGGGCTTCGAGGATATCTATACGCGGACGAGACGAACTCTACGATCGTTATCGGCTTGAAGGGGACGACTCTTGCTATTTGGGATGGAGACGGAACCACGACAAATGACAAGGAGAATGATAACCTCTTCTTCAGCTGTTGTTGTGGGCAACAGGGAAGCTACCTTTACCGTACGGTTTGTGACTGTGCTACCGCGACATATACTTGCAATTTGACCTGCCTCAAGCAGAGTCTCAAGAAGGAGAACCGATATTACGCGGCTGCTCGACATCTCTATAACAACGTCACAGCGCTCTATCCCAATTCCGAGGTTTGGATGTCAGGCCACTCTCTTGGAGGTTCTGTCAGTGCTATGATCGGCCTTACGTACGGGAACCCTGTTCTTACTTTCCAGGCTGTCCCGGATGCGTTACCTGCAAATCGGCTTGGGCTTCCAGTACCCCCAGGAGTAGATCCCGATAGACCAGGGCAGCGGGAATTTACGGGAGCTTACCATTTTGGCCAGAATGCCGATCCAATTTATATGGGAACATGCAACGGAGCTACGGCCAGTTGCTCTTATGCCGGCTATGCGTTGGAAAGTGCATGTCATACTGGACGAGAATGTGTATACGATGTGGTCACAGACAACTCTACGAGGGTTTCTATTGTCACGCATCGAATCATATGGGTGATCAATAATGTACTTACGAAGTATACGACAGTACCAGAGTGTAAATTTACCCCTGAGTGCTACGACTGTCCCTTGTGGAAAGAAGTCACTGGGAATAGCACTAAGACATCCACTACTTCCTCTTCCACTTCCACCACCCGAACGAAGACTAGAACATCGACCTGCGAAACTCCTGGATGGTGGGGCTGTTTGGATGAGACGACCACGACTTCTGGTATAACTACCACTAGCAGTAGCAGCACTACAACCACGACATCAACATCAACATGTAAGACTCCTGGGTGGTTTGGCTGCAATGATGAAACCACGACGACTAGTAAACCACAGACTACAATTCCAACAGCTACAGCTACACAAACCAAGCATACAGAGTCATCGACGATCACGTGTGAGACTCCTGGCTGGTTCGGTTGTAATGATCCAACTTCGACCGCAGCTCTGACTTCAGCCTCACACTCTACAGCAGAGTGCAGTTTACCAGGAATGTTCTGGGGATGTTATGACCGAACTACAACACATACTCAATCTCATCCCATTACCTCGCCACCTCCGATGCCTACTGTAACTTCAACGACTCGTGTGCCTAGCAAGACAAGCAGCTATTCCTGTACATCCCCCGCTTGGTTCGGGCTGGTCTGTGAGGACCCCTCGCCTGTACCTACAAACTCACCAGAGAAATCACATTGTTTGCGACGAAGCTGGCTTGGGTTCTGTAGAGATTGGTCAGGTACGAATGATGTTTATAAAGATATCTAGCATACATACATATTCGAATTAGAAGGAGTCGGCAATGGATGAAATTTGGGCGTTGGTACAGCATAGGCGGCATTCAGGATTTTTAATTGGAGCAGCGGCACATCTCAGTTTAGAGCAAATATACCATACATATCATATCTACAACTCATCTATTTGTGCGTCCACTCAGGCTTCTTCTTCTCCGCAAAAGCCGTCATCCCAATCTTCTGATCCTCACTCCCAAATAAAGAATGGAAAACCCTCCTCTCAAACTCCACTCCATCCCTAACCCCCAGATCCTGACTCTTATTGACCACCTCCTTGGCCGCCATAACCGCCACCTTACTATACCCCGCAATCGTCTCTGCCGTCCCCAACGCCCCCTCCATCAAATCCTCATACGTCCCAAACGTCCTCGCCGCCACCCCCCACTCGGCCGCCTCCTTCCCCGAAAACGTCTTCCCCGTCAATATCAACTCCATTGCCTTTGCCTTCCCCACCGCCTTCGTCAACCTCTGACTACCCCCTGCCCCAGGTATCGTGCCCAGCTTGATTTCCGGCTGGCCGAAATTCGCAGTGTCTGTGCAATATAGAATATCGCACATCAGCGCTAGCTCGCACCCGCCTCCCAGCGCGTGTCCGGACACGGCGGCTATGATGGGCTTTTTTATGGTGCTGGTGAGCGAGGACCATGATTCTATGAAGGAGGTTGTGTAGGCTTCCGAGAAGGTTAGGGGGGCCATTTCTTTGATGTCTGCGCCGGCTGCGAAAGCCTTTTGGGAGCCGGTTATGATCATGGCGTGGATTGATTTCGAGGCGTCGAAGGATGAGAGGGCGCTGTTGAGCTCGTTTATTAGGGGGGTGGAAAGGGCGTTGAGGGCTTTGGGGCGGTTGAGCGTTACTGTGGGGGTAAGGTGTGTTAGTAAGTTATTTCTGTATGGGGAATAAGGGAAGAGGATTGGGAAAATACTTTGACCGACTCCTGGACGGGGTTCTGTGGTTTGGATATACTCGTATGACTTCACTGACCAGGCCGAGGAGTTGCGAATGAGTGCGGGGAGGGTTGAGGGTTGGAATTTGAAGACCATAGGCCTCATTGTTCTAGATGTTTTCATCATTTTGAGAGAGTTTCTTCTGTTGGCTTTAGTTGTTGAGCTGGATTCCAATTGAACTGCTAATTCAAAGGAAGAAGCAAGTTGTAGAGTAAGTTATCATACAAGTACTCCAGAGTAACATCATACCTCGCTCCTCAGGGATGAGTTACCGATAAAAGCCGGGGAAGCTACCCCTGTCACAATCATGCGAATGACTAAACAAGACGATGGAGACAAGGACAAGTAAAGTAGGGGTAGGTAGGCTAGGTAGGTTAGGGTTAGGTCTCTTTAGGATTTGATGCGGAAAAACTACGGCCCGTGCTTGCCTCCTGGCGCAGCGCAGATGCAGGGGCAGGAAAGAAACGCGAACAGGTGTCGAATTCAACGCATTGTGAGCAATTACGAGTCCCTCTTTATCCACCACTCTTGCGCCATTCAACTTCAACCACACTCGCCCACCCAGTCCCTCGTCGCATACGCTCTTCGGTTTCAGATTCGATAATAATACCTACCTAGGGAGGCGAGACGCGAAGATGGATTCCATTGAGCCTGAACAAACCCCTTTTGCGGCTGTGAGCGCGCATACATCGCGCATTCAACGTGTAAGTTCTGGATCGGGCTGCGTTGATGGAGACAGATTCTGGAGATGGGATGAATGAAGCTGATAGATATGGGAATAGCAATACCAGGCATGGCTAGATAAATCGACGCCGTTTGTACCTTTCAGATGGCTTGGAACTGGCGGACTTTTATTCGTCTTCTTCCTCCGGATATTCGTCGCGCAAGGATGGTACATTGGTATGGCTCTCCAGACCACTTTCTCGCAATACATATTCTAACGGGTATATCCAAATAGTGGCATACTCGCTAGGAATCTACCTCCTAAATCTCTTCCTCGCTTTCCTCCAACCCAAATTCGACCCCTCAAATGAGGCTGTAGACAATGAGATGGAAGACGGTGCGGCCGGTGGCCTGCCCACAAAACAAGACGAGGAATTCCGTCCTTTCATTCGCCGTCTTCCTGAATTCAAGTTCTGGTATTCGGCTACGAGAGCAATTGCTATTGGGTTTCTCTGCACTTGGTTCTCCATCTTCGATGTACCGGTTTTCTGGCCTGTGTTGGTGGTTTACTGGCTCATTCTATTTGCGCTGACCAGTAAGTTTTCTTGGAGAGTGGGGGAGTGGGATGAAAGCTAATGTGGAGTAGTGAGGAGACAAATCCAACATATGATCAAGTACCGATACGTACCGTTCTCATTCGGTAAGGCGAAGTACAACAAGAACAGCAATTGAGCGGACGACTAAAAGCTGGGGTTTGAGGATGCAGGTGACGGATATGTTGATGTATGGCGGCAGCGTCATTTGTATAAAAATGCTGTGCTTGTATCTGATGCGCGGAGTGGAGAGGATAGAAACGGAGCAACAAACTTTACTGCCCTTTAATCGATGATCAAACCTTCTCTATCGAATATACCTAGGGATTAAGAGTGGGCATCAGGGGGTCAATGCTAGATGCTAGGCCATAGATAGAAATACGATACAACGAGCTATTCTGTTTGGTTGGAGTACTTGATTCTGGTGTTCCGGCTATGGCTTACTAAGTTGCAAGCAGACAAGGTAATGATTGTCTTGAATGGCTTGGGGATATCCTGGAACTGAAGTCTGGAACTGAGGTCCTACTTAGCAAGCCTCCCCTCGTATGTTTCTTTCTCTTTCTCCCTGGGTTTGAGAGGCAAGTAACATGAGACAATTGTTCGCGGTCAAGTGGGCTCCTTGGAATGTTTCTATTCTTTCCATATTAATTTGTGGAAACTCTTATTACACTGGCCGCTTCATTCTGTATTTCAAGTTCAATTGAAGTTTGCCAAACCTTGGATCAGTTGAAAAAGGCACCCGCATGTGATCAAGCGGGCGGTGCCAAGCAAACACTCTTCAGCCTCGTCCAAAAATCTACGCGAAGCGCGATTAGCCTCCGAATCTGGAACCCAACCACACTCCTCATCAACTATCATCAACATCATCATGGCATCTTCAGCTCCTCGAGGCGCAGAGCGCATGATCCATCAAGATTACATTGCGCGAATTCGATATTCCAATGCCTTACCACCACCTCCAAACCCGCCCAAGCTCCTCGACATCCCGAATACTGGCCTTGCCAGCGGTCAATACACAACACCTGGTTTTGCTGGACGACTTGCGCGAGAACAGCCGCTCAATATCGAGGCCGATGCCGAGCTTGGTATGCCACTGGATCTAGTGGGCATGCCAGGTATCTTCGATGGTGATGAGAGTTGTAAGTAGGAAGCGCTATTTCACGACGCAAGGACTTATTCTGTGTCTACAGCTATCCAAGCACCAGTACAGCCACCAGTACCTCATCCTCATGATCGCGCTCTTCTAAGACCTCTATCGACCCTTGGAAAGCCCAAGTTCTCGGACTCTGGCGTGTCTTTCCTTCGACGTACCGAATACATCTCTTCTTACACATCTAAATCACGATTCGACTCTACGACTTCAAGATCTTTGATCGATAATGTTGGAAATCGAACTAAGAGAGCGCCCCAAAGCATCGACAAGGAATCACCGACATATATCAAAGCGCAGGTTGAGAAGAGCTTCCAAACGGCAGCATCAAATTTGAAGAATCCTACAACGGTGCGACATCCTTCAAAGCGAAACCTAAAGCTTGTGGATGCGTACCCCCTTCTCCCGGATCTCGATTCCTTCCCAGATGTTGGAGGATATGTCACTATCAAGTTTCTCACCAACCCCGTGCCACCAAGTACGACCTACGACATTCGCATCGAAAACAGTTTGCTGAAACCAATCGAGGGAACCGACGAAGAAGAGCTGGTGAAACAACAAGCAAGAGAGTTATACGAGCGAGATCCAGAACGTAACCCACCTCCAGACGACACAATCGAGTACGAATTCTTCATGGCGGAAACGCCCTCCGGTGCATTAAATTTCAAGCGCAAATTCGACGCATTGGACCCCGAAAATGACGACGAGGAACTCTACACCGAGAAAACCGGCACTGGCGAAGGCTGTTTCCGCTTCAAGCGAATACGCGCCTACGAAAGTGCCCTACAAACTGGTTCCGTGGGCGACAAATACGACGAGGAAGTCGTGGTCGCTTTACACGATGGCAAAGATGGGCTTCATCAAAAGGGCGCTTACTATTATCCCATTGTGCAGAGAACAAATATTCGGCCACAGAGACAAAAGAATATCAACAAGAAGATGAAGCGGATTGTGATGAATGATGAGGTTACGGATTATGTGGATGTGAAGGTTGAGGAGGCGGATGAAGAGTTGAAAGCTGCGAGGGGTTTGTTTGCCGAGAAACCCTATGGAGAAGAGGAAGAAGAAGAAGCGGCTGATGGACAAGCGGAGAGAGAGATTTCGAAGACACCAGAAGCGAATGCGGAGGATGGGAATGCGTCTGATAGTGGATGATTATCTTCTCAAGAGTAAGATTTCGGATTTTGTGGAGGGCATGGCACATGGCGTTTCTTTGGAGGGAATGTATAACAATAAAAAGGAGCAAAATGGATAGATTTATCTGCGGATCCTCTGCGAAAATACTTTACAAATGCCAAAAGAGATTGGCTTAGTGGCCGTCCTCGCTCTTGAGTGTATCTCCAATATCCTAATTTTCTACCTTCATCCGATGAATAACCATGCAGAAAGGGGATATTCAGTACCCCAGACCTACTATATCTGTCTTTCAAGCTCCCCCATCACTCAAGATTTGGCACACTATCTTCCGCGGAACCCCAGACCGGTCTATTCCTGAAGAGGAGTGCGCTTCTACCTTTTCTCTCTCTGGACAACTCATTATCGGTTATTCTCTTATTACCAAGTGGGCCGATCGACCATTCTACATTGTATGTTTACCTCGGGGGATAATGACAGCAAAGCCCTGTTTAACAGAAACTGGATACTTGACTGTATATCAATTCCGCTATCGACGGAATTATACCTTGATATAGTTTCTTATTTTATCGCAAGCCAATAAAGTTTATGATGCAGCGTGTGGAGCAGTCGAACCAGCATACCAGTTTGACATGTTCGCTGAGCGGTTTGCAGGTCAACTTCAAATCCTTCTAGATTGGATCGAAAAGATCTTTGGCCCTCAAGGAGTGATCGTATCATATTTCTCGAGGAAGCTTGTTGACAGCATGGCAGAAATTGACAGCAAGCTATTAAGTATTCTCTTGGAAGGCAAAATTCGGGTTTTGGTGAAAGGCCATGGAAGTAGCATGGGCAGTCTCGAAAAGCCCGCGAGGGGCACTCAAAGCTGCAGTTCTCCAGCTATCACTTGCCTCGTTCGAAAGGCGGCCAGTCATATGTGTTACACTTTACTTGCATTTCATTTGCCGATTTAAGTTCGTAAGTTTTATTTCCGCATCAAGGATAGAAATCTAATAGAATAATCCAAACATTCAAAGCTTAGGAACCCATTTCGTTTGTTTCGTCCCTCCATTCTCCCTTGCTTTTGGCTATTAACCTCGTTTTCAAAAACACCCTTACCTCTACCGTTGAACGGACACGTCCAAACTAAATCTCAATCTCACCCGCAGCGCAATGATAAGTGCTGTCATCGCCTACGAGCCAGTGTTTGTTGTGGATGGGAGGTCCACAGGGTAGTCGCCGTAGTCTAGGTAGATCGTGAGTATAATCATTCTTCTTTAAGATTTTGGATTTTGAGTGCAAAAATACCTGCATAGGGTGCATAACTTGCATAGGATTCAACCTGAGGTTCATGTTTCTCCTTATAAGAGGATTTGTCGGAATCTAGTAGGTTGTGTCAGTAATGTTCTTTGAAATTTTGGATTTTGAGTAAAATAAATACCGGCATTGGTATCAAGTTCTTCAAGCACCTGAGATTCACGCTTTTCCTCATCCGGGTAATCGGTAGAATCCCCGTAGTTCCCATACTCTTCAGGCCCCTCCTCCTGGGGTTCACGCTTTTCCTCATTCGGGTCAAGGGTATAATCTGCATAGCTCCCATACTCTTCAGACTCCAGCTCCTGATCACGCTTTTGCTTATACGAGCCGTAATCGTCATAACTTCCGTATGGGTTGTTCTCGGCGGACACGGGCGCTGTGTCACGCGCTGTGTCGGAATCGTATTGGCCGTAATTCGCATTAACTAGAGGGGATTGAGTATGAGAATAATGTTCTGGTGTACATTGAAAGTCTAGGCTGTGTGTGGATGTGACTCACCCTGAGGAGCAGCCTCACGCTTCTCTTGGAATCCATTGTCCTCACTGGTAGGATCTTGGGGTTCAATATCAGGGTTCTTTGCTCAAAGTCAGCTTTATTTATCTTTAAAACCCTTGGGCATATAAACCTCGTCTTGGGGAGAAGCCTCACGCTTCTCTTCGCTCACCTCCCTGGTGGTGCTGGTAGAACGTTCGGGATCATCATTAGGGTAGTACTTTTCTCAAAGTCAGTTTTGTTTATCTTCAAGAATCTTAGGCACACAAACTTCTCCATATGTTGCGTACGGGTTGTAATCTAAACATGGTAAGCTTTCATTCATTAAGATTCCTTCAGAAGAAGAAAAAAACTCACGACCATAATCTTCGGGAGCAGCCTCACGCTTCCCTTGGGGGCCGTAATCTTCATGAGACTTTTCGGGGTACTTTTCTTAATATCAGTTCTATTTATTTTGAAGAATTTTAGGCGCACAAACTTCTCCATATGAATTGTACGGGTGGTAACCTAAATATGGTAAGCTTCACTTTATTGAGATATCTTCAACTAGACTCACTCCCATATGGACTATCTTGGGGTACTGGAAATGGCTTTGGGGTAGGTGCAGCTGAGACAGCTGCTAGGGAAGCAGCGCCCAAGAGGATGAGATTGGTAGAACGCATTTTGGTAGCTGGATTTGTTCAAGGGTTTTGCTTGAGCAACTTTGTGCAGATGATGAAGTGATGAAGTGTTGGATTGATGAAGTAAGTAATTGATCTGTGGAAAGGTTCAGCTATTTATTCATTTGAAAAACCAAACTTCTGCTATTGGAATTCGATGAATGTAGGTACAGTAGGACGGTGCCTTCGACCCCGCCGACTAATAGCATTGGCATCAACCGCGGTCACATACTAAGACCCGTATAAACAAAATGGCCCCGAAATTATCCATGGCCACGGAGCGACCGAAGTCCAACGCACACGGTTTCTATTAGGTTGCTCATTAGGACAATAGAGTACGATTGAGACATTAAGGTAAGTCATCAATACTAACACTAGCATCATCTAAGCCCTCGAGTTTGCCAAGGCCCCCTCCCTCACGGAATATTAGCTTTCTGTGTGTATACCAAGGCTTTGGGGCCGATGCTAATTAAAGACCCGGCGACCCTCGCAGGAAACATTATTTGGGCACAACCTAGCTACGGTCCGGCTGATTTAGCTTCTATTTCTCAAGTACGATGGATATGATACGTCGTCTTGCAGTCCTCCTCACCTCTGCCAGCCTCGCAAGTTCGCAACGTAATGCCTAGCCTTGTCATACTCTGATGACTGGATTTTAGGTCGGGTCTAGTAATGGCAGACGATACCTAGTCGTGTAAACCCGTTAACTCTTCTAATAACTAATTAACCATTCAAGAGATCCTTCCTCGGGCTATGAGGTAAGCCAATGCGAACATACCTTGAGCCAACACATTCTAGAATACTAAGAACATAGCGCCAAGTCCAACAGTACATCCGATTATTCTCCCAACTCACGGAGAAATGGTTGCTCTCAGCAAACATTATACCTTCTACTTGTGATCAGACCTAGAACTTGCGTGGTCTTAAGCTCAATAGAGTTCTTTTGCCCTATAAGACCCTGTCTGGTTCACTTTTCTGTGATAGATATCGCGATTTCCGTGACCCACAGATAAAAACACTAGACACTGCTTGAACCATAGAATATTTGACTTTTAGAGGCTTTTATTGATGCATACCAAAAACGTCTATGCACGTCTTTAAGTCAAAGAAGCTTGACGTTACGTTTAACCATATAAATCTTTTATAGAACGCTAAAAGAAAAAGTGCAAAATGCCTTCTGCCACTATTTATAGTATTCAGTATATAAACCCTATGGGTCAAAATACCAGACACTACTTAAGTCAAAATCTATAACCTAAAGATCTTTGGATTAAAAGTCTTTAACCTAAACGACTTTGGTTCACAGATATTTGAGCCAAAAAGAGAACCAGACAGGGCCTAAGTTGCAAATATCCTCTAACTCGCGATAGTAATTAGACTTGTATAACATTTCTGTGAAGGGAGGCTTATAATATTCCATATGCAGTAGGCTAGAACGCGGGTACCTCAACTTGAGCAAATTACCCCACAGATGAGCATATTATTTCGCAATCTAGAATTCTAAAACGATCGCTTAGACAATTTTCTCCCCAAATACTCTATTATTATTATAATAGGGTTAAACCTCTTTTAGTATTATCACGGCTCGTATTAATCCCTGTAGGACTCTAATACCTTTTGGTTTGTTTCTTAACACAACGATCTTTAGCGATCTGCGTCATCACCATATGGCAACATTTCTAAGATTCCGACCTTAAGTAAGCTTATACATTAATCAATGCTTGGCCGGATGCTATGGTTATTTGTTGAAGAGGAAATCCATTTCTAATTTGCATTTCATCTGATCTCTTTCCCCCAAGCTCTTCAAGGACCCCAAACCTCAATATCACCACATCCTCCTTCCAGAAAGTCTCAAAGTGCGTAGTCCTTGTTTAATGATGTATACACCACTCGAAGACAGGAGTGAGCAAGGCTCCCAGTCATCCGAGTATTACGAGCAACTGCTTTCAAAGGAGTCCCAAGATCCCAGTTCATCATCCAGGCCGAGTTCAGCAAGAGGTCGAAACCAGATCCTTGTCCAAGTCTTCCTCACTCTACTCCTTTCCACATTTACTTTTGCCCTTGGATCTTGGTTGGGAAGGTACAAGTCCTGCAATCCCAACGGCCGCGATTACCTTCAGCACGTCCAACAATATTGTAGGTTCCACCCAAACTGGTAAGTATATATATACTCCAAGCTGACTTACCAAAGCACCAATTTTGAAGGATGTGGATACTTCGATACGATACGTGACTTTCAACGGTTCTTTCATGAAGGAGAATGTCTTCCGACAAGATGCAGGACCTGAAGTGGATTCAGCGTGGGAGTCAATGGGGGTCAACTGTAAGTTTCTTTCTGAGCATAAATCCTGACATCTCTGACAACGTTGTACAGACAGAAGTTTAGCCATCCCAGTCTCAGAAGCCGCAGCCACCGGATTGAAGCCCGACCAAGTCCAAATAAACCCCAAATACGGCGGTGGGTTCCCCGCCAACGTCGAAGGCCTGCACCATCTCCATTGCCTGAATCTCCTCCGGCAAACACTATACTTCAACTACGACTACTATAAATCCAAGGGCGAAGGCGCCTTCACGAACGATGACCGCATTCTTCATTTCCATGTCACTCATTGCATGGATATTATCCGCCAGCAATTGATGTGCATGCCTGATACTGGTGTTTTGGGGCAGGTATGGTGGGACCCTAAGGCTCCGCAGGCTTTTGTTGATTTCAATACGAGGCATAAGTGCAAGAATTTTGATGCAATAAGGCAGTGGGCCCAGGATAGACAGATTCCTAAGAAGGTGGCGGATGACTTTTTGCAACCGCCAAAAGAGGGTGATACCATTTATGAACAGATCCCCTGAAGGATCCAGCGCAATTCTATGCAACATTGGACTCAGGTCCAAGTCTCATGATGGTATTGTAGACCAAGCAACGGAGCAGGGTACGGTCCAACTCTGTTACATCAAATACTACAAGTCACTGGTTTTACGACACGCAAAGAGGAGGAGATTTTGATGTTGAGACTTCGATTTCAGCAAACTTGGCATTCAGCTCTCAAGTTCAGACATCTAACGTGAATAATTGGTCAAGGGATGGAGATTTAACGACCATGGTTAGATATTATAGAATTGACAGACTTAGGCTTTGAGTCAAAGTCCAGATGCTGGTCCCGGCCTGGATGTCTAAAATGATAATGGAGGACATATCAAGTAGAACTTGAGCTAATCTCCATCCGTTTCATCAATCAATAGGTTTTGATACACGTGAAGGTCATGCAGATGTAACAACTCGAAGCACAATATGCAGGGATATACTCTTTAGCTGAGATATTGAAATCGATGTTGTTAATGTTCAGAGGATAGAACAAAAATATACTTTTGGTGCTCATATTATCAAATTTCATACAAATCACACTAACACATCAATAAAACATTACAGATTTTGTTGAAAAAAGGCACTTTAACGTAAGAAGTAGTTTAGCCACAAGAACCACTAGGAAAGTCATCATCAATCACGCTTTTTGTGCTATGTGTAAGTAGAAGGAGACGGGGGGTAGGGGGTAAATCCCAGGTTCCTTACACATTGATGTTGCTGGCTTGTGATAGTCTTTTGCTGCTAGCTATACGCCTATTTTTGATTTTAAGGTATAGAATTTAATATAATTCCAACCTTACTAGGTTGAAACAACTATATACTGTCTTTTCATATAACTAGAGAGGCTGGCTGTCATCCTCTACTCTTTAAGAGGTACTTGTAGTAAGAAAACCTTAAAGTGTCTGGAGTAATTGCAATTTGCAAATGTCTAGTTCCAGTAATTAACCGTAAACATTATAGCTTATGGATTATAGTCTCTTAACCAGCTGTGGTTATTTCACTATTATATTGTTATATTATTAAGAGTACTTGACCAAGCTACAAGGATACAGTACCCCTGTACGTATGATACATCCGCCCACTTTCCGATACTTCCGACAGCGCACGACGCCTCAATCCCAACTTATACAACATCGCAAGACTTGTGGAGAAATCGGCTAAGGGCAATCAACGAATTGGGAAGGCCACTTAACATTTGAACCATACCTACACTTGTAACTATGGACAACCCTCAAATTGAAGCCGAGCCGGCGGAACCCCGCTCCATCCGTCAACGCGTCAGATCCGCGTGCAAGCCGTGCAAAGACCGCAAAAAGCGTTGCAACGGAGAAAACCCTTGTGATACTTGCATTGGATTTGAATATGAATGTCATTATGTTGTCTCATCTCGGAAACGTCGGAAGAAAGACGACAGTGCCGCAAAACAACTAGATGTTCCGGACCACAGCAACGGCATCACCTTCCCAACACCTGCAAAGCCTGAAAAAGAGAGCCACAGCGAGCCGATTCCAACGCAAAATTGGGTCTCAAGGGAGGAATATTCAGGAAATGCATTCCCAAAGATCCTAATCGGGCGGTTGGACCCTGGGCAGATGGATAGACTGGCTATACCGTGGAATTTAGGGGTGGGACAGGTAAGCTAATTTCTCAAAGGACTACTTCCTGCTTTAGACATCCCACGAACGGTTTATTCTCTAGATATGTTTTTGCTGACTCCGAGATCTTGTGTCAGGAGTCTCAAGGCCCCAAGCAGGATATCAGCAGAATTGTGACTCTGGACCAGATGCTGGCCCTGGTCGATGTGTATTTCGATACTGTCCATCAAGTGTTTGGATTCATCAATAAACAATCTTTTGTGGACACAATAGTTCACAGATGGTCGGGAAATTCGGCTCCCAATTCCAGAGACATAGTTCTTTCAGCAGTTGCGGCTCTTGGATCATTATTTGACGCAGGATGTCCACCCGCTTTAAGAGAATCTATTGCCAATTTTGCCAAAGGCTTACTGGAAACTACGAATGCTCGTAGCAGCCTTGAGGTAGCCGCCTGGCTCTTGAGGACTCTTTATCTTCGCATCACTTCTCAACCACACGCTGCTTGGATTGCAAGCTGCACAACAATGCACACCATTCAAGCAACTGATGTAGGTCAAACATCCGACAGCGATGTGGATGGTGATATTATCGATAAAGAAAGACTCGTTTGGGTCTCTCGTGCAAGCAACTGCTTCATTTCTAGGGAGTATGGGCGGCCCACAGTGGAACTCGAAACAACTCTGGTGTCATTCCCGACCTCGCGGCCCGGCGACTTCACCAATGATCTAGTTTATATGTATCGATTGTCGGAAAGACTTCACTCTGATGAATCCTATACGGTGGTTGATGACGAAGCCAGAATCGCAGAGCTCTCCGCGTTTAAATCTGATTCTGATGGCATCATCCTTTTCAAGGCTTACTTGGGTCTAAACCTTTATCGTCGCCTTCAATCGCGATCAGTCACTGCTTCTGTATCATCGAAGACTGTGATGTCCGTAATATCACTCGGGAAGGATGGAGTGGATGCAGCCCTCAGATTCGCCAAGCGTCGACAACCCTGGTGGCATGTAGCCAATGTTACGTTCCAATTCGTATGCATGCTACTAGTCATTGATACGAACACTTCTTTGCAACATCTAGGAAGCGCCATGAACGCCTTGCAAACGGTTGCCGAATATTTCCCTTCTCGTTCGTTGAGTGAAACGCTAGGTTTTCTGAGGACACTGGTGAAGCTCACTTGTGACCGGAAGAAAGCAGAGCTTGTTTATTTGGAGGAGAGCTTGAAAGACAAACCGCGTGTAACAAATCTCGAACAGGTCGGCCCAATCCGTGGCATAGCCCAGAATGACCAGAAGCTCTCGGGAGATACCTTCACCACCAACTTGAACTCAGAAGACTTTGTCAATTTCGATTGGGATGCATTCTTTAAGGCTGATATCCCAGTTTTGGACTATTCAGTGATAGATCCATAGACGGCTGGATCATTTCACTAATCAAAACTTGGCAAAACACCATCTATGAGTGACAACAACATCTGGCTTCGGATCTAAGGTGGCAAACCTAGAAGTCCAATGGTCTTCGTCTTCGGGTCGCTGGAAGGCCGAGACCACGTATTGTGGTGTCCAGAGACTGCCAAATATTGTGAGTTTTCGAAGACTAGACGATCCGGCGGTATTGATGTGGCTTTCCGAGGCCCGTGGGAATTCGAGAGCCATGCAAGAATCTTAGAAATATATCACAATTCCCCAATCGAGATCCTCCCTTGTCTCAATATGGCTATACCTTCGCTCCAGATACTTTGTAACTTGCAAGAAAAGGTTCGTCAAGCAAGACGTCCCGATTCCCAACAGTGGGGAATATATATTTATGTGACTGTTTAAATGGCCATTTCAACTGTGTCTGTAATGGAAATATTCATTCTCAGTCAAGTCACCAGCACGGATGGGGATGTCTCCAGGTGGTAGTATTGGGCGTGTATTGTGGGTATTAAATGCATACTACCCGGATTAGGTCAGCTGGGGAAGACCCAGCCAGACAGTAAACTATATTTCATTTTACACACATCTTCCAGCAGTTACTGTGACCAGATACATACCACACACATCCTTTAATTTCACCGCGATCAAATTTTCACACAGTAACGGACTCACTCACTATACCTTAAGCCCAAAACCAAGCGTGCTACTATCACCAGCGCTTAAAACACCGGTCCCAAAAGCCCCCCTTCCCAAAAACAAATATACATAACCCTAAAACCAACCATCCCACGCTTTAAACTCGGCCCCAAGAACCAGATCGAAAGACACTAAGAAACAACTAGGATAGAACCACCAGAAAACTTTCGAGTTTTAAAGCAGCAAGCACCGTGGGGGATATTACCTAAGCTACTTAGAATCTGCCCCTGCCCTACCTACTACCACTTACTAGAAACCCTTACCTTACTCCAATAGTCACGAGCACGAATAAGAAATTCACAAACTTACTTTGCCTTCTATACCATCCGTCATCTTAAACAGCAAGCCCTAATCTCATCCCGCCGACCTATCAACATCAACGGGAAAACCCCCGCTCTCTCCGACATCACTAACTGGATCACCGTAGCAAAGTACGTACATAGTAGTGCAAGTAAAATCGCACATGACACTTCACGGGAAATGGTTAGACGTTCAAATTTAGAATTTGGAAAAGCGGGAAATGTACAAGGAAGTAATAATACGCAATAAATAATACGGGATGTTGAATGTAGGGAGCTGAGTCGACATAATAAGAGGATACAGATAGCTTGCATATTGCAGGAAATGAGGTATCACGGCTACTTACTCTACTGGTCTATAGTTTGCAGAGGTTCAGGTTGTATCTATCTAGCTGTCTAGATGGAGAATTATATATAATTAATCATATGAGATGCCGGAGCAGTACTTACCTACCTGTACGAAACAAATGCCACGTCACTCACGCACGCAGTTTGATATATTTGCGGCAACAGAGAAATAATGCATTGAATAGGTATATGCTCATTGAGCCAATAAAACTACTAACAGCAGCGCTGGGAAGAATCAGATTAAACCCCAAAATATACCATCTCGTCCCTTCACAAAACATATCCTCCACTCCCAACAACGGTCCAATCCCTCACAGCTCTCGCTTCCTCTAGCTCAACGCACCACCACAAGACCTCCCTCGCTTTGTCAGGCTGCCCACCTTCTTCATACGCTCTCGCCAGCGCGAACCAAGCTTCGCTGTAGTTCCAGCCCGTACCTAACTTTGTCAAGCCGCTGAGGAGACCGTATGCGCGGTCGCGTGCTGCTAGGCGGTCGAGAAGCGCGGCGGACGATTCTTTGGGACTTGATGGGCGGGTTGGGGTTCCTGGAGAGGATGAGGTGTCGGGTTTGATTTGTGGAAGGGCTGGCTTCGCGGTTGGGAGACCGAGTGGGCTATGCTGGGTATCGGGTAGTGAAGATGTTGTTTTTGCGGGAACGGATGTGGTGAAAGGGGCGGTGGGAGGAACTAAGGTATTCACAGTCGAAGCGGAAGGTGTGGAGAAAGTATGAGGTTGGACGAGAGTGGGTATCGATGGTGGAGGCAGTAAATCTTCAGTGTAAATGTCGAGAAGTATATTCGATAGCCCTACAGTGGCTGAAGGGTGGTCGGGAAAATGCGTTAGGGCGGATTCGAAGTGATGAAGAGCGACGTATGGTAGCAATTCGGCAACCGCGAGATAACCACGCTGAGAAGGTGTCAGTGAATCGTAGTAGTAAACGAAAATAGTGAAACTTACTTCAGAGAAAACGTCCCCCCATAACGCCCCAACGCTTTTGCCGCCTCCCCAGCCGGCATTATCAATTGAAACATTACCACTCGCAACTTTTGTAACCTCTGATTCCATAGCTTCAACCAGCTTCTGCGCTTCCTCAATTGCGCCCTTGGCGTCGTCAAACATGGATGCTCGGCGATAAAATCCGCTGACCAGCAACCAGACCTTTACCAAGATAGCTATCCTCCTGCGTCTCTCTTGTTCTTTAGGAAACCGAGTAACAGGGTTTGCTGACGTTGAATATGGTTTTACATGGGGTAGCCGACTATCTTGTGCAGCTGCAGGGTCCGGGTGCGCGGGCTTGAGGGCAGGCTCCTTGTGAGCCATTTGCTGCGACTTGGGAGGCAGTGTTTTTGCTTGTCGTGCACTTTTGGACTCTGGAGAGACAGCCAACCCGACTTTCTCGGAATCAATTTCCTCGGAAAACCAATCTTCTTTGTCTTGCGTCTCTACCGAAGGAGTGAAGAACTGCTCGCCGTCCACCGTGGTGGCCCTAGATGAACTATCAGTGTTCACCTTCCGCCCTCCCGCGTTTGTACTCTTTTGACTACCGTTGCTCCTCTTCCTAGAAACACTTTCGCTGCGCTTTTGGAGTTTTTCGTGATGGTGGGGATCTTTTGTTGAATGGCTACGTTGTCTAGCTGAAGCTCCATTTTCACGTGTGACTTGAATCGTCGGGGCCACCGTCTGGGTAGTTTGCGGGCGCAGATGACTAGACTTCTCTTCCGGGGTAGGAGCTAGCGCGTTTGACTTCCGCCTAGATCTCCCCGATCTGCCAAAAATGCTCCCCTTGATACTTTTTATGGTTCCAGCAGAGCTCTTTGGTGGAATTGGCGTAGCTGGGACCACCGCTAGAGCCGGTTGCTTTTGCGGGGCGTCAAATAACCTTGTGTATAAGGTTAAAAGCTCATCACTGGCATTGACAGCAATCTCAGGTCCTTCTAGCACCTCAATAAGAGCTAATTGGGTCATTTTGACCTCGAGGACGCTCTCCTTTTCGAAATCATCCATCTCATCCACAATACCCTGATTCCGAGGAGTTGACTTTTCCTTCAGATGCTCACTTCGATAAGAATTACTTGACTCATCTTCTCCGAACAAATATTTAGGGTCTTGAAATTGTTCGAAAGCCCCTTCACATGACTTTGCTGCGGTGACAAAGTCTTGCCTCGCGCTAAGTAGCAGAGCCATGAGATGCCAAAGAGGTATTGAGGATCGCTCTCTCGCAAACCGCCCAGGATGGGGACCCAGTCCATGAGAATGGCTTGTTGTCGATGGCCGTCGAGGTATTAAACCAATCTTGACAACTTCGATCGCTGAACTCAATTCTCTGCGCTCCGCAAGTATTGTACCCAAAGCGAATAATGTCTTAACATCTGTCGAGCTCGCGAATTCTGGCAAAAGTGCTTTCTTGAAGCATCTGATGGCCCGTGACTGTATCTCCAATCTGGTGGTTGCATCAAATGTCAAACGCGCCCATTGAGCATGTCCAATTCCTATGCATCGCCAAGCCATCGCGAACATTTGCGGCGCAATTACCGTCCCCAGATCAGAAGAATCGCCATTCTCAACAGCTTTCCCATTTCCGTTCTCTCGCTTGCTGGGATGGTGTTTATCCAACCACTCCTCAAAATAATGACCCAACTCCTTAGCTTTCTCGACCCCTTCGCGTGAACCATAACGGCATAATGATTGAATGCACTCGGAGGCTGTTCGGAGAACAGTTTCATCGTCATCTAAACCTTGCTCGGCTTCTCCTGTTTTTTCAACACGAGCTTTGCTCTTCTTGACAATCTCCAAATACGTATCAAAAGCCTTTAGTGCCAATTCAAACTCTGCTACTGCCAGATGAACCGTGAATAAATGCCTGAGTATTGCCGTCGAATGAAAAGTCTTTGTCGCAGCTCTGTAGAGTATATCCAAAACGCCTCTACTAACGCCCTCTGCTCCTCCTTCGCCCAAGTCCTGCTCGCTCCAGCTATTTCCACAGAGTATTCGCCAGTTCTGCATGACTATATCTACGAAAGCCTCAACTTCTTCGCTTCCTTCTTCTGCCTTGGGAAATTGTACCTCGTTCAGTAGTAAAGTCTCGTATTTTGCCTCTACTCGTTTCAACTCTGCGCGTTGTTGTAGTCTGGTCGACGTTTCGGCATAGGCAGTTGTTAGAGAAGTTGTCGGGAATGGCAGCTCTTGTTGGAGCAGATCTGATAGTGTGACATAATATTCCTTCCATACCCCTCTTCGCGAAACCTCAGCTTGAGCAGCCTTTCCACCTGTCGGCAATGGAGCTTGAGTATCCCAAAAGTTCGCCCACGCTCGAAAAGCAGACAACGTTTCCGTCTCTAATATAGATGAGATCTTCGATTTGAGTGCAAGACTGGAAAGCAGGCAGAAACCCGTAAGGTAAAGCTCGGTCCATAATCGCAGTTCCCTCCCTTGTTGCACGGACGATGCGCTCGTCAATATTGGTAGAGCAGATTCATAAGTTTCCAAGGCCTCGGCAACTGCCCCTGTCCTGCTCTGTGATGTGCCCTTTATATAGGAGGCCTTTAAAGCACATACTCTTGTCCACTCGGCCGATTCTTGTTTCGTGCCATCCAGCTTGGAAAAGTCCTGTTCTATATTTCTTGGAAGCCTGGAAGCAGCTAAGCCTGGTTCCCCCAAGTGCCAGTGTATCCACCCCAGGCAAACCACGGCCTGAAACTCGTCCTCGACATATGTTCGCTCGTTTTCGATGGCCTCTAGCAGAAGAGGGATGTAGCGTGATATGCTAGGGGATTGGGTCGAATTCGCAGTCGAGGGTCTGGCGGTACCGGGCCGTGACGAGTTTGGGCGGTTGTGCGCATATTCAGTGACCGCAAGCTCGGATTCCACAGTTAACGTGAGGCCTAGATCACGACATCAATTATGTCCAAAAGAAGACCTCTTCCTTGTGCCTAGGGTTCGTAGAGAAGCGGGGTTTTTTTTGGACGTACAGGTTCGATTGGGCGCATGCTTCTTCACCTTTCTCACAAGCTCCGGAACAGCATCCCAATTTCCCTGGCAGCGGGCCTCATCCAACAGCTGGATATAATGGGCCGCTTTAGTCTGCTCGCGCTTAAGAAGAGAAGACGGATCAGTCGCTATTCCTACTTTTCTTCTAGGGAACCAACTTACGCTCATCGTTGCAGGGGCGGTGGGGGTTTCAATCTCGACTGAATTACTCGAAGGAAGGATCACAGGGCTCCCGCAGCATGATAGAGATAGATTAGCAGGGAAAAGTCTTCATATTGCAGGGCGGCAAATGGGCATGGAAAAAGGAGGGGAGAGGAAGAGGAAGAGGAGGAATGAATCGGTGAACTAGGTAGATGAGTTCAGTTCTAACTCAGCAGAACTCAATCAATCGTCACTGCCACTGCCCCTGCTGCTCAAAAAAGCGGTGCGCTGCCAAGGGGTCGGGGTCTAAGAGATTCCGCCCCACCCCCTGTCACTATCAACCAATTAGGCGGTTCCAGTTCCGGGTCTAGGGGATTCCACTCCACCCCTGTCACTATTAACCAATAAGGCGACTCAAATGCCTGCCTGCATCCCCACCTCCCCTTGAATCTGTTGAAGAAGCTTAAAATTCCTTTCGTAAATAGAATTTCAGCCAGGCAAGATCACAATTTCACCATAAAGTAGCCCCCCTTCACCATTGGTCTTAGGAATAACTGCATATGTTGTATAGCCCTACTATAGGGCCCTCCCTTCCTACCTTACTCTCGCCCTACCTACCTACCTTACCTAGGAAACCCTACTTTGCCTGAGGCATTGCGTCTTTGGCGCACATTCGTAGGCGCATTGTGTATTGGGAAAGGGTCTGATCTGATCGCAAAATGTCTCTTCCTCCCGAGCTTCGGTTCCTGTGTGCGCAACTCAGTTCTACGCCTCCGACAGATCTCCCCCGTCTTACACCTTCTCTCCTGCGAAATGTACTTCGTTGTCGCGCTCCGCTCTCAAGTGCGGCAGGAAACGCAGCCAAAACTGATACTTCTGCAAGCTCCGTCCTTGTTCACAAGCTGAAGACGCAGTTAACTACCCTGCTCAACGGGAAAACCCAGGAAGGAAGGCTGGTTGCTGTCATTCTAATCAAGGCTGTTGTCGAGGTCGGAGGATGGGAAGTCTTGCGCGGCGCGGAATCATGGGTTCGAGGTCTACTCGCTCTTCTTGGTGTAAGGAAGGTGTCTGCCGTTGTTAAGATCGCTGCTAAATATCTGTCAGAAACCGGACAATGCTGCATCAAAGGAGCTATGTATAATAGCACTCACCAAGATCTATTGTATGACCCACCAGTATCCAACACTTATCCGTGAGATTACTACGCCGACGTTGCCAACTTTTGTAACGTCCTGTCTCAATTTAATCTCAAATACCTCCAGTAAGGTGGTGGATGTACCGTCGTCGTTGGTTGAGACTGTATTTCAATCATTCACCATGCTGCTGCCCCGCCACACTACCATTTATCGGCCATTTACTTCTCAAATTCGTCTTGCAATCAAGCCATTCATTGCCCCAACCTTAGAAGATGGGCTCATCGTAACGTCGTCGCTTAAGGGGAGTGCGCGCGATCTCGTCGTAATCTTGCATCAAACTGTCCCAAAGGGTGCGGGAGGAGAAGAATGGAGTAAAGCTGTTCGAGGACTTGTCAAGGATATACACGTGACGGCCGATAATGTATTTCGAGCTGTCATGGAGGACTGGGAGTCTACCGCCGGCTATGTTGGAGAACCTGTCAATGTTAACCAAGAGATTTCTGGTGGTGGAGCGAACGCCGATGACTTACCACCATGGACTGGTGTTGCTGCAGGCGTAGAGAGATTGACTGGCTTACTCGAAATGCTGGCAGAGTATTTCAGGAGTGAGACATCGACGCCTGTCTCGATCCCCCTTGGTGCTATCATGGATGTTGTTGTTAGAATGTTGTCAATTGCGCTGTCATCGTCGGACTCCTCTTCAAGGCAAGGGAGTGCACGATTACACCCTGCCATCGATCGAGATGAGAGAGATGGCTTATGGTGTGGCATGCCTCAAATTTATGTCGCTGCGTTGGAGCTTGTCAATGCTGTTGCTGAAAGAATGCAGGAGGGGTTCATGCCAATTGCCCAGGGAATATTTGACCAGCTAGTGTGGGTCTACCCTTTTGGCAAGAGCACCCCTGAGTTTCGCTTAGTCACCTACGTTATTGTTGCCAAAATTTTGCTGCACATTGGTCAAAGTTTTGACAGAACTCAGGCAGGAAAGCTTGGGTCAATCATTCGTTCTTGCTGTAAAGATTTGCAGTCACTTGATCCGAGCTGTCGCGGAGATGGAGTCGAAGAAGATACTGGAAAGCAGTCACGTCACAATGCGAATCAGAATGCCGATACATTCCTACAGAACAAACAGAATGCTATTGAGGTACGATTGGATGAAACAAATCTTGTCGTCGCTGCTAGGAAACTTTTATCTCTGCTGCTCTCTCATATCCCCCAAGAATTCCTCGACATATCACTACGGTCTTCAATTGAACGTACTGCCATTCTCAGCCATGACAAGGACGCTATGTTGTCTAGCATCTTAAACCCCTTTGTGGGCAAGAACGGAAAAGCTTTAGCCAGCGTGCTGCCTCACCTGACCCAGGCTTTCGGATCCGATCAGATAGTTGAAATTCTCCTCCGGCCTCGCATGCCGCTCTTGCCCTCTGCTGGTGCCCGCCTGCCCACCAACGATGCAATTCACGAAGAGTCTGAGGATGAAGATATGGGACTACAAACGAAGCTTAATCCTATACAAGGGAACCTAAATGAGCATAATACCCTTATTGATGAGCATGCTGTCTCTGAATACCCGGGACTCGGCCCTGCTGTCCATACTTCCTCTCACGATGCTGCTCCTGGACCAATAAACTTCGACCTTCCGTCATATAACCCCGTCGCCGCCCACAATTCAACAACCATGGACGAGACAATGTTGGAACCGAACCTGAACCATCCTCGTCAGCCAATAGGGATGGAAGACACTCGGATGGAGGACGAATCATCGGACGAAGAAAGTGCGCACCTAAACATGTCGCTGGATGGGATGGACTCTGACTCGGAGTAGGGTTAGCGGACTCCTCGAACGATCCCACTCTTCAGTAATCTCTGGAACCTACTGCCATTATAATGTATCCATCCAACGTTTAAGTAGTGTTGAAAATGAAAAATCTATGTTCACGGCCCCAAGCTGTCACTTCTGTGGTGACCTTTCCAAACTCAATACACACTAGAAGCCTGTTCTTGATGCTGCCATTGGATGGAGGAGACACCTGGTGCCATTTTAGGATCCTTAGCTCGGGGGGATCCTTGCTTCTACTATCTTAACCAGCAACTCGGTACCAAACAGTGGTGTTGTAGTCTTGAACATGGTATAGTATAGCCTTGGAAATTTTCATAGCATGAATACACCATCGAATATTGACTACTCTCGTTAGCCTGCGCACTCTCTGATTTTCGTCCATGACCTTTCCCTCAAATTCCCACATCCCCTCTCTTCTTCTCAAACTTCGACTTCACACTCATAATTACTCCAACATCGACTTCCCACTCGCAATTTCCCCATATACACCAAATTCGACTTTCCAGACCTCACAGCAGTTATTCGAAGCATCACGGTCTACTTTAATCATTACTTTACCCCTCTTCTCTATTCTTTAACCTCAATTGCCCTCTCATACCCGCTTATTTCCTCCCCATCGCACTCACACACACACTCACACACACACACTTACACCCACACTCACCCTCACCCTCACACTCAACTCGACGCAGAAGCTGTTACCGACAACAATCCATCATGTCATCTTACGATTCCTCCCTCGACGCAGAATGGGAACCAGAAATGGCATCTTACCGCCCTGCCTCTCCCTACGCAGACATGCCCGAAGAGGCCATCCAAGCTCTGATCCAAGAGACAAGAGGATTTTGGAATGTCGAGGACTTACCTTTCCAGGGAAATGTCCCAACCGGGAATGCACAGCCAAACTCTAATCCGTAAGAACCCCACGATTCCTACCTGCCTATTTATTCCTGCACCTCATCGTACTGCATCACACCCCACAGTCCAATTTGTCTTGCCTTTCAAACCCCTAAATTTTCTTCCAATTGTTCTTCCGCACAAAGTTTCTCCTTCACTATGCCGAAATTGAATTTTTCTTCTTCTTTTTTTTTCTGTGAATTGTTACAGAGGGCTAGGGCTAGGTCCTGGCGAGTGTGATTTTCCACACTTTTTCTTCTAGTTGGTTTTTCCCATTTGCATTTTTTGATAATCAATCTGCTTTGAAAGGGGTTTCAGTCACGTGTTGCGGCTCTGATGACAAAGGTTAGCGAGTTTGAATTGAGGCTCCTTTTGTGGGGTCTGGCTGTTTTATATTATGACGTCATAGTCTTTTCTTTTCCCAATCAGTACTAGTCTTACCTTTGTTAGCCCGTGCTACTTTGTCGTCGCCTTATTGGTCGTCTCATCGTTGCCTCATCCCAACTAGCCCTGTCGTCGCTACCTCGTCGGCGCTACCTTGTCGGCGCCTTCCTACTGTTGGCATGGCGTCCCTTCCTTACTGAGACCTCATTGGCTCAGAGTTTGACGAAGTCCTCAGTCTGAATCTCAATGAATTGCGAAGTGCAACAAAAGTTTTAAGAGGTTCCACATTGAGTTTGGTGTGGATCTTCCCCTACCTTATTACTTTGTATTGTCTGCGTTACTGTATCATAGCTCCACTTATCGAAAACATGAACATGGACTAACTTTACTTTGCCTTAGAGTTGGACAGAGTGTTCAAGCTGGCGACGCTCAAGCCCAGCAATCTCCCACCTACAACACCTACAACGCCTACACCGCGGGGTCACTGCCTAACTTTGAGGCCAATGGCAGCACGGCCAGGAACTCCTGGAATGGGAATATCCGGGATGAGGTGCAATTCTGGATACCAGCCAGAGGAATAAGCACCAGCTGGGAGACTAAGGCTGCCTCGACCACGTCTATCGATGACACTTACGCCATCATCGAGATGAGAGCCAAGGCTCAGAAGAAGACCTCCGACTTTGATAAGATAGAGATGATGCGACAGGCTCGCATCGACGCGCTCATTGCGCATAAGATACAGTTACAAGTCGACCCCAACGCCAAGCCCAGGATGACACCCCAAAATTGGGAAGGAGGGATTGTGCAATGGAATTACCAGGCCAAAAATAACTGGACATATCCTGCAAACAATACTTTCAAGACTCCTAAAGGGGCTGAAATATTTCAGGAGGCAAGGAAACTCTACAGGATTCTTTCAGTGAAAGAGGCAGCGGATGTGCAGAAGACTTGGGGAAAGGTGTATCCCAACTACAGGCGTGATGGACGTCTAGTTCAACAGATGCCAGAGGCACCACTCGAACAGGCATATCAGATTCTCGTGGACGGCCATGTCGATGAGGACGGAAAGCACCGGCATCGGGACGACATGAGCATGTGGATATCTACCCACGTGACGAACTCCATCAAGCGCGACTTGTGCAATGAGTTCTGCCGAATGTGCCCAACTTGCGGACCCAAGTTCAAGCTTCGCACCGAAGGACACGCGAAGAGAACTGCGACGAGAACTGCGAAGAAGGAGAAGGAGATGGAGAAGGCATTGGGGGCCGTCAAATCAGGCGCTAAACGACAACTTGAGGACGATGATGAAGCCTCACCTAATCCGGCAAAGAAGCCAAAGAGGCAAGCCACGATGGCCCAGGCCCAGGTCCCACAACAAATTGGATCCAACCAAATGCAGGAGTACAACGACGTTGGTCAGGAGTGGGTTGGAGGTTCCCACGCCCGACACATCAATCCGCCAATGGACCAATATTGGAGACAGGTCGGAGCTGAATTGGGAGCCGAAAGGGACAATGACTTTCCTCCTCTCCAATCAGCTTTCAACTCGCGCGATACTTTTCCGGCCAGCGCGGGCCAGCAGTTTAGACTGCCCGCGAACCCAGTCGTCAGCCTACATCGCCAATTCGCTTTTCAGGGGCTGCATGGACCTGTCACCCAAAACCTTTTTAGCTATCATAACCAAGTGACCGGATATCTTCAAACCTCGTTCGTATAGGGGTACATATACTGAAGCAGAAGGGTCGCCATGGAGTTGAACCCCCATAGGGAGTACTACCGTTGAGCAATCCGAGGTCCAATTTGGACTATCATCAGTGCAATCGAACGGAATTGTCACGACATTAGCCTTACCGAGTCACAGTCATATTGGTCAAAGCCTGGGAATTAACACATCTGACCCAAGTCACCGACGGACAAGCCACAAAATATTATCTTCAACAACCGCATCTACCTAATGCACATCGGGAACTCACGCATCCGATCCATGGACAAGTCACCAACTACTCTTTACAACAACCGCATTCAAATCAAATACACATCGGAAACATACTCTTCTTATCCACGGATCACGGACAAGTTCTCGAATACTCTTTATACACCTAATCCACGGATAAGTCACTTAATACTCTTTGGAGCAACCGCATTAAAAAATACACGCTGAGAATACGAACATCTCGAACATCTGGTCCACGGGCAATTTACCAAGCTTGCTTTACAGCAACTACATTCAAATGGAATGGAACCAGGGAATAATCCCTTGTTTGGTGGATGGGAAAGGGAAACAGTTAAAGCACATCAACCATCTTCGACACTCTGGCTACTTCTCAACAATACCTACCGGAACGACACCCACGACCTCCAAACAATAACTTGGTGGCTCCTGGACAAGAGATTGGGACGACCTAAGGATACTACTCACATTAACAAATCAACATCTGATTACTACCCAAACAAATCAACGCAACGATCGACTTTCGACGCTAGATGAAACAATTGTCACCCTTCATGCGAATCAAACATGGCGACACTCCCCGGAAGCAGCCTCACCGATCAACCTCCATTTACTACCTAATCAGTTCAACGCAACGATCGATACTCAATCAGAAAATTGTCACCCTTCAGTCATACGAATCAAACATGGCGCCACTCCCTAGAAGCAGCCTCAACAAGAACGGGAGCTTTCAAATATCGAGTTTGCTCCAGGTCTTACGAAGGCTACGATTGCTTTCAGTCTGCGGGAGCTGAATTGGAAACCGGGGATAAAATCCTCTTCGTCGAAGCAAACAATAGAAAGAGGGAATTTAGATCAAACTTCCAGGCATATTGCGAAAGTGAGGGCATGCAATTCCAGCCAAGTCCATCATATAAGCATGCTTTGAATGCGCTGTAAAGCGCTGGACACCTGGATACTATCCAATCGACTCAATACGACTATCGACCATCAACAAACAACAATCAAGAACCGAAAAATCGGCAACTAGACCTATCGACAGCCCGGCGAATCGACAAGTCGACAAATTGACCAAAGCGACAGCTAAGGAGGCCGAACAAAAAGAAGCCGAGTTAAGAAAAGGACTCAACAGGAATTGGAATAGGCTAAATGCGAGAGAAAATAGATGGATCAAAGGGACAACGACGAAAAAAAGTATGGTGTTGAGGAACCCTAACAACAACAAGCCGAGTTCGAAAGGACTCAACAGAAATTAGGACGGGCTCAAGCTGAGCGAAAGCAATTACACTAAAGGAACAACGACGAAGGAGACTAGTGCTCGAATCTACACAGAAGTGGAAAGGTTAGATCACTCAATTGATCAGTTGGATAAGAAACAGGAGCAGATTCGAAGAAATCGGCAAATCGACAAAGACAAAATTGACACAATGTAGGTACTAACTACTAACCTAAATCTAGCAGAGCTATCGACACTAAATGTACCGCTGGCGGTACATAAAGGGAGGATAATGCTGGATTGTCAACCCCAGGACATGCGGAATGGATATGGGTATAATCTCCCTCGTCTTATCACCAGGAGGGGTAGTTTAAAGAGGGTTTTTAGGAAATGGGAGGAGGAAAAAGGGAGGACAATAGGGAAAAGGGGAGGATAAAGGGGGAGGATAACACAAGAAAATAGGAACGCAAAAGAATAATCACCAAAACATTAAATTAGAAAACAATCACAAAAAGAACACTTCCCCCAGATACTCACATATACTTATATGCATGAAATGTTCCTCACGAAAATGTGATTTATGTAATGCTGTTATGACTTGACCACCTCGTCATATAATTCTCCAAAGTTGTTTCCACTTATAGAAATTCTCCATACCTTTGTCGCTGTGTCTTTTTATTGGACGAATAGAGAAGGGAGGGAAGGTAGAACAAACATCTTCAGCAGTGTTTTAGCGATGTGCGCTAGAGAGTAATCCCTATAGCAGATCCTACACCCTGTAAATCCAGTAGTGCTGATCTTCAGGCCCCACCCGAGTCCCGACCCCGACTCGAAAAACAATGCTGTCTGGCTGTTTCATTGGCACGTTTATCACCAAGCGCTGACCATGGCAATGACCTATATTTGTTAATCCGCCACATCATATGATCGAGAGAAGAGGTGAGTCGTCTTGCTACTGCCTATGTATGTACGCAGGAACTGATAGTAGATGCAGATTGAGCGCGCGCCTGGATGCTATTGAGGTTGTGCTTCGGGGTGAGAAGAGCTGGTGGAGGGGACAAGATGTCCAACCACCCCGACCAAGCTTGAGTATCCATACGGTGTATACTCGGCCCGTATCTGAGGCAGGGTAAGTCTGAGGCAGGAGATGGTTCCATGATTACCTAGTCAAGTGACTTTCCAAGGTAAACTTTTGGAATGCGGCTTGCCGGATGCTTCATCGACCTCGTGTGAAGTGAACGAGGGAGCAAACCGCCCACACAAGATCCAGAAATACCTTACTGACAATCTCCGAACTTTTAGATTAAAAAGCCTATAATTAGGTGCTGCCGCCTTCCTACATACCTTCTTCATACTCACTGACCACTTCAATCCTAGAGACAAATCTTTTTTACCTCTAACGTCTATCCAATAAGTATAACTTCCATTTCTCCAGAAACAGCTAAAGGTTGCTGTACCTGTGTAATCGTATACCGTTGCATGCTGCATTACTAGGCACAATGCCAGCGAACTCAACCCCGCCGTGACCACAAATTGATCCTCCAAAGTATGGACCCTTGAGCTACCGCCGATCAGCCTTTCTCAAACCTCTAAACATAGGCTGCCAACAAAAAGTTCTGCCTTTGGAAGGAATCATGTTTGGGGATAGCTGCAAGGAAAGTGGTTGATCTGATATATCTCCATACATGTAGTGACATGAGATGATAAATTGCGAGTCCGGATGACTGCTCGTTGCTTCGATGGGAAGGGAAGGTCACCTAAGCGGTGAAATGGACTGCAAGGTAATTGGTGATCGAGATTTACTCTATCCTTTCGTCCAGGAGGTATCACTTTTACATTCACTATCTTACTATAAGAACAGAGACCTCGCTTCGTCTTTAAGTTTTTTACATCAACCTTTCCTCTCATGTTCCACATCACCTTCGCTCGATATAATTCTCATCCCAAACATTTAATTCATCTTCAGTCGCTGCGTATTTCTTAATCATAACATAATTCTATTAAGCGACCCCTCTTTATAATGTGGCCCAATTTCATTGCCGCGGCGCTTGCTCTCTTCTTTGGTGGTTTGAGCTATGCCTTTCCTGCTGAACCGGAGATGGGCCTTTACAACTTACTTCCTGGACGTGCCAATGACAATGTTAGCCCCGACAACGCTTGTGGAAATGTAGTTGCGGGTGCAAACAACGGCTACTTCTGCGAAGCCACCAAAGATGATGGAGGATGCTGTTCACAATATGGGTACTGTGGGAGCTCAACAGGTACGCTTTATCTCAAATCAAGTCATTTAAATATGCTAACAAGTTTCTTCAGACTACTGCTTAACCGGGTGTCAACCGAATTTTGGCACTTGCTCAACTCCCCCATCCCAACCTATCGAGGACAATTTTCTATGCGGGCCTCAGAATCAGGGAGAGCTATGCTCTGACAGCCTGTGTTGCAGTCAAAATGGATATTGCGGAAGCACAGACGACTACTGTGGTGGTGGATGCCAGCCTGCTTACGGACAATGCAAGACAGACCTGACTCCTCCCACTGGGAATGACAAGTGCGGTCCCCAGAACCAGGGAGCAACTTGTTCCGGCAACCAGTGCTGCTCCGTTGAGGGTAATTGCGGTACAACGTCAGACTACTGCGCTGACCCGAGGAACTGTCTGCTCGGGTACGGTAGATGCGATTCTGATACCACGCCTGCTGGACCGTCTACTGTGAATGTTGCTAGACCTCTGAAAGGCCCAGTTCCTTACACAGATGATATAGACGACTGCATTCAGGATAACGTGGTGGCGCTTTCATTTGATGATGGACCATCTATCTATACGTCTAGGATCTTGGATATACTGAAAGCATATGGTTACCACGCCACCTTCTTCATCAGCGGGAACAACAACGGGAGGGGAGCAATCGATACCACATCTCCCTACCCGGACTTAACCAGGCGTATGGTCGCCGAGGGCCATCAAGTAGCATCGCATACTTGGTCCCACTATTCGCTTTTGAACGTCACTCATGACCTACGCATCTCGCAGATGGTCAAGAATGAAATGGCTTTCAACAATATCATTGGGATGTGGCCTACTTATATGAGACCTCCATATTCCGATTGCACCAAAGAGTCTGGGTGCTGCGATGATATGTTGGCTCTGGGGTACCATCGGGTTTACTTTGATCTCGATACTGAGGACTATCTTCATCCGCTCCCGTCGCAGATACAGAGGTCGAAGAACATTGTGAAGAAGGCTCTGGCTGACAAAACGGCTACTGATTACCTTTCTATCCAACATGATATTGTTGAGCAATCTGTCACTAACCTTTCGGCATATTATTTCAATGTCATCAACGCCAGAGGTTGGAGGGGTGTTACGGTTGGTGAGTGCCTGGGAGACACGGATACGTCGAACTGGTACCGTTCTTTCAATAATTGAAAATCTGGTCGGCGTGTGCCCAACCGAGTGGGGTCTGTTTGAAGCCCGGCAGCTGTTGCCAAAACTGTGGTCTGAGGCGAGAGTGATGAGACTGTTAGGGCTTCGCGTAACGACTGAGGAGACGTGGGGTGGAGATCATCATTCATGGAAAACACCGTGATCTTCTTGCCTAAGACGTATTTGATTTAGCATGAGCTGTTGGCTGGGGTTGTTGGGGGCGCAGAGGTGAGCAACGCGTCGCATGTTGGGATGTCCAACAGTATATCTGTTTCCAAACCTTCTGGATTTCATGCAGAAAGTCCTCGACTTCCTAGTTTGGTGCTTGGATCTTCAAAACCATTTTCATCTTAAAGATAGTTTATTTAAAATAGAAATAACGAGTTATATTGAACGGTGTGTCAAATTAATCTGTCCGACTGTGTGGTTGCAAAGGACTAATATATTGGTAACTGTTGAACTTCTCACCTTCCCCTGATACTGGTCCTCACGCCACCATCTGCGCCCGAGAAGGATCGCCTAGCTCGTGGGCACAGGTTGACTTGCATTATGCATCGGATGGAGACATGGATGCTGTGATACACTGACGACGAGTGCTTCCTATAGAAGGCCATGGGAGGTGGATTCGGGATCGAGGATGCGACGGTGGAAACACTGTTTCATTATGCAAAGGCCTAAAAGGATCATTAATGCACAGGCTTAATCAATATCATGTACTGTATAACCTTGGGACGCCTCTCTTTCCTCTTCTTCTACTGCTTTTACAGAAACACACAGTCGAACAATATTATCAAAGTCGAGATTCAATAAGCACTGTATATATTTATATGTTCAACATGTCCGATTTCCAACGATACTCAGGGGTAATGACTCCCCCGCCTTCGGAAGACGGCAGCTCCACTACCAAATTATGCCCCACTCCACCGCCCAATCGCCGTTGCCATTCCGACAACCACGCCCAAAATGACTGTCCCGAAGTAAACAATTCCACGATCACACCCAACGCATCACCTCCCACTACCCCTTTTCCACCCTCACCACCAGCCAGTATAAAATCACGCCGTGACCGCACCTCCTCCCAGCGAGAAGCCAACCGATCCAAACAATTCACCACCCGTCTGAACCGCAGTGCGAGCGCTGGGAATACGACAGACCCGTTGACTGGGAGGCGGAGAAAGGGCTTCCAGCGGCAGACGAGCAGTTTACCGGCGGACCACGGGTTGAAGGCTGTGGAACCGCCGCATGAGCAGGCGTTGACCAAGATGGCGTTTGCGGAGCAGCAGAAATGGATTACGGTGCAGCAGAAGACGTTCACAAAATGGTAGGTCGGATGGGGGGTTGGTGGAGTGCGTGGCTAATGCATGGGCAGGTTGAATACGAAAGTTGAACCTCGAAAGGTGGCAGTCAAAGATCTCGTGGTGGATCTCAGTGATGGGGTAGGTCTCACCTCTATAGGGTATGAAAATATTGGGAATGCTAATGGGTATACGTGAATAGGTCATTCTCATCCATCTTCTCGAATGCCTCTCCAACGAATCACTCGGCCGATATGCAGCAAAGCCGAAGCTTCGAGTCCAGAAATTCGAAAATGCAAACCTGTCCCTAGATTTCATCAAGTCCCGCGGTATACAAATGACCAATATTGGCGCCGAAGATGTTGTGGATGGGAACCGGAAGATCATCCTAGGTTTGATCTGGACCTTGATTTTACGATTTACGATCTCGGATATTAATCTAGAAGGTATGACTGCCAAAGAAGGTCTGCTACTTTGGTGTCAAAGGAAGACAGCTTGCTATGACGAAGTCGATGTCAGGAACTTCACCGATAGTTGGAATGATGGTTTGGCGTTTTGTGCTCTCTTGGATATTCACCGACCGGATCTAATCGACTATGATACGTTGGATAAGAGCGACCACAAGGGGAACATGCAGTTAGCATTCGACATCGCTTCCAAAGAGATTGGTATCCCGGATCTGTTGGATGTGGAGGATGTCGCCCACGTTGCGAAGCCTGATGAGAGGAGTTTAATGACTTATATTGCATACTGGTTCCATGCCTTTTCGCAGATGGAGAAAGTTGAGAACGCCGGGCGAAGAGTCGAGAAATTTGTCAACAGTATGCAGGGTGCGTGGGAAATGCAGAGCAACTACGAAAGAAGGATGAGAGCCCTACTGCAGAACATTCAAGAACAGGGAGCAACATGGCAGGAGTCGAAATTTGAGGGCACATATGTGGACGCGAAACAACAAGCAACAGACTTCAGCGCGTACAAAAGAGGCAAAAAGAGAGAGTGGGTCGCGGAAAAGAGTGATTTAGCAGCGCTGCTTGGAAACATCAAAACGAAAATGAGCACATACCGATTAAGAGCATACGAACCTCCGCCAGAATTGAGTTTGCCAACGATGGACCAAGAATGGGCAAAAATGATTAAACTCGAGATGGCAAGGGGTCAGCTCATTAATGAAAACATAAGAGAGTGAGTGCAGACCTATGTATTTTGAGGCAATATGCTAACTATTTACAGTATCAAAAATGCACTTCGGAAATCATTTGCGGACAAAGCCAACGACTTCGCCTTGGCCCTCAATACTATGCAACTAGCTATATCAGGATTGGAAGGCGATGTTGAAGATCAATTAATACACATCAAGATGTTGAACGAAAAACTTCCGCCTTTGCACCAGTATCTTGAGACCATTGCCGTGGTCGATCAGAAATGCGAGGAGGCAAATATTGAGGAGAATGACTTTACGACATATACATATGACGAGTTATGCTACGAGATGAGCTTAGTCAAGGGCTCTGTCTCCAAAAAGCTGGCTTTCCTTGACAACCAAGTTGTGGCACGAAATATGACTAACCTGACACCCATTCAACTGGAAGAATTTGAGAGTGTCTTCAGACATTTTGATCGAGATGACTCGAACAGTCTCCAAGAGCTTGAATTCAGTGCGGCTTTGGCATCGCTTGGACTTGTTTTCAGCGAAGATGAGATGCACGAGTACTTCATGGAGACCTCTGACGGGCGTAACTCTGTTACTTTTGAGCAATTTATTCGATTCATGGTCGATGTTACCGAGGACCAGAATACCGCCGAGCAAGTCTTTCAGAGTTTCCGAGAGGTGGCTGATGGAAAGCCATATGTTACTGAAATGGATCTCCGGCACAGTCTGGTACCAGATGATGTTATCGACAGACTTACCGAGATTGTCCCACAGCACAAAGGCCCAGATCTCCAACAAGACAGAGGGATGCCTCAATATGATTACATTAGTTTTATGGATAAACTTCTCGGCGGTCCAGAAGAAGGTGCTCTGACCGAGCTTCCAAATGGTCGAACTCAGTCACGTTCAGTTTCGCCTACTAAGACGAATGGATATCATTGAGAGACTCATTGAGAAGCCTTGGATTCGGTCTAGATGGGGTTTCTTTTCAGCATTTTATATTCACGCATGGTGTTTGTCGGTGGGTCATAGGTATACCAGCATGGATGGCGAATGTTGAGGGGCTGGTTTCGTGGGTTTCGAGCGCAGATACACATATAATAGATAGATTGGGGTTTTGCGGCTCTGTGAGCAATGCACTTCAGTTGTACGTCATTCATGTTGCACATACATTCAGTGTCTCGGGCACTCGGTGATATATTTGAATTGTCTCTTGCTTATATGGATGTGGATGTCCTGACTGACTAGGTAAAAGGCGAATAGATCTACAGGTAAATGACCGCATTTGGATTAGGGGCAAACTCGCTTAGAAAGGGGGTGTTGCTCGGCCTCGGCATTGCTTTCTTGGGTGAACACTTTGAACAATTGGATGTTTCAACTTTCTTTTGGAGTATAAATGTAGATTAAGCATAATATATGCCATATGTTGTCCATGTAGTTGCTTATGAGGATCAAATCTGTTTGGATTCCTCTTGGGATTGATGATTCCCGTAGATAATGAATGCATGCATCGTGTCTTCTCCTAACCACAACCAGCAACAATTGCGTGATCCCACCCTAGCTGTTTTGTAATCTACGGACAGCAGATGCTCCCAAGGAGAGATATGGGAAGAGGTGGAGATGATGGAGTCTATGATTGTGTCAGTAAATTTGAATTCATACGAGGATTAATAATATACTATTCAATCTTATAGCTTTAATAATAAACCCTACTATTCACGACGCCTTAATCACACCTATCAATATCTCCCTAAACTCCTATAAATCCGACCTCGTCTTCCTTCTCCCTTCTTCCCTTCAACCTCTCCATCTACAACTTGTGCATACATAAACAAGATCCTACCAACCTGTATCCACAACTCCAATAAACACAAACATCTCCCCAAGCTAACCTACATGCAAGAATGTGTCAACCAACCAAAGACCGCTACAACCGTGGCTACGAGCCCTCTGAAAGACTCCGTCCTTGTTATGAAGCAAGTCGCTCGTCAGCGGGCTGCATGTACATCTCTGGCCGCATCGACTATATCGACTTCGATCACAAATTTTTCACATGTCAACCTCCAATTGTTTCCCCAGGAGTCCCAACAAAGGCTTATTGGAAGAATAGGCTGTGAGTGCGAAGGTATGAGGTAGGGGGACAACTGTAGCTAGAGGATAGGTGGCAGGTGGCAGGTGGCTGGTAGATAGGAACGTCCAGGTCCTTGGACTTTTGATGAATGAATGACGAACATCGTTGAATCTTAATGCATTTGAAATGCCTTTCTATAAAAGATCATTGTACATGCATCTGTGGGAACCATTTCATCTTACTCAATAGAGGCAGGGAATTATTTGATAGGAGTGATCGTACATCAGAGCCTGCCTCCAGTGCCCTTCCGGTAATAAGGTTATGACAGATAACCTCATTCATGGATTCGCGGTCACTGGGAAAAGCCCCACCAGCCAGTCAGCATATCAAGCTTCCAAGTGACGATGACAGTAAATTGTCAGACTAGCTAAGGACGCATTGGAAACAAGCTACCCCACATAACCCCGAGCAGGCTCAGCCTAGGGAATAATACGGGAACTGATTGCTTCAACGAATCACGGCGTACTTCGTAAAGAAGCGTACAGTACTGTAAGCCGGGTCACATTACATGATGGGAATATCGGATTGCTTTCCCCCGAGTTGCATGAGCATTATCACCCCCATATACATACATATATGACGTACTAAGGGTACTTCGTAGATACAAACGTTGAAGTTTCAATATGGAGCCTACGGAGTAATTCTGCCCTGCAGATACTTTCTTCTAACCCCTACCCTACCCTACCGACGTTACCCTACAAACCCAACATCATCGCAGCGCGCCGTCGGACATCGCAGCTCGCCGTTGAACAGCTTATTTAAACTTTCCGCTCTCTCCAGCGTCTGTGACTGGTCAGCCTTAAGAGTCAAGGTATGGATGGATGCAAGTAATCAGATATTCATCATAACAGTAATCAGGTAATCTCTCCAAATCATCAAATGGCAATACAGCGGAGCTTTGTTCCACTAGAGGCGTTGCATTTCCGTAGATCTACTGCAGAACCGGGGGGCAAAGCAACGTGTTATGTTTCCCTTCTCCACTTATGCAGATTCTCTACGGCGTAATTGTCTCTAATATTAGGCGCTAGTCCTAATATAGAGCTATTGGGTTTGATAGCGATTTCCACGCTAGCGAATCATATAATTTTTACCTTTTGCAGCTGGGGAATAACCATGAAATGATGGCCACGAGAACTAATATTCGTAAAAAATCTAGAAAATCTAAAGAATCCACTTCTGCAGTATACAGTAAAGGCCCTGAGTTTTTATAAGGGCTGCCTAGCTATCCAGCCGGAAAGAAGAGGATGGTTTTACCCGCAGCTTACCAGCAGCAGGGAGGAGGGGCATAAATGTTTTTACGCTAGCAAAACCCGCAGAACTTTATGACCCACTGATCTATACCATGTATCCATGCAAAAGCTTATGGCTCCACATGCTAGGGTCAACTGGCGTCATATGGATTTCCTCATTTTTGTATGGTACTAGTATGGCTTTCCAATTGGCTCGTGGTCCCAGAAAAGTTGAGAAAACCACACAGGCGCGGGGGTCGCGGGGGTGGCGGGAGGGGGAGGGGCTGTCTGCTTTGTCTCTTTTCAACATGCTTCTGGCCACTTCTGGCAAGAATGGGAAAGTTCCATGAGAGTCTGGCCCGTGGGGAGGATATGCTCCCACCTGATGTCATATATAAATATGGTAACATAGTATTCCATATATTTCACTTGAAAGCTGATATACATTTGCAAGATTGCCATCACTTTAATCTTGAGCTTCAAAATGGATACAGAATGGAATGATTATAGTCAAGTATGTTCCATTATTCAAACACTTTTCTCACTAGCATCTCTCTAACACCTTCCATAGTTCTATTCAAAAGCTCTGGATAGCGGACTTGGTCCATATAAAGATGTCAACCCCAAAGCAGGCAAATACACCGAAGAATGGATGTTACTAGACGACTTACCATGGCCTGAAAGCCCGTTTAGTCAATCTTCATTATCCTCAACTGGAGGTTTTCGTGCCCTTCAAGGTAGCTCGTGGAGCCCGTTCGAATTCGAATCCATCACCACCGCTACGCAAGCACTTGCTGAGTGCAGTGGGCTGCTAGACGCAAAAGACACTTCATATCTGAATAGTCCCGCAAACGCACAATCAATAGACGCGAATCAAACATCCTTCGAAATCAATTGGTTCCCCGAAGACCTGAGACCAGTATTCCCATGGGTAGACTTATCATCTGCCACCAAAGGTGGGCCAACGAATGAGGAACGTGCAAAAGAAAACATCATGTCTGTCACATCGCCGATCGCTTCACCGTCTCCCACATCACTTTCCCCCCTTACCGAAACACCAACACCAACCACACCAGAATTGACACGCCGAAGTTCGGATTCTCCGGAACTTTCAACTGCCCCAATATCCGCCCGGATATCGAAGCGAGTGAAGAAAGAGGCCAATGCACGAACACCCAGGCGTACTAAACATACACCGGAAAAGGCAAAAGGAAAGAAGCTGCCGAAGCCAAATAGGAAACCACGGTCCGCATCTCTAACATCACTTAATTCGCCCATCTCCCAAGACTCGCGCAACAACCACAATCTCATAGAAAAGCAGTACCGAAACCGCTTGAACTCGCAATTTAAATCACTCTTGGAGACGCTTCCTGTTAAGGAGCCGATGGATGAGGCAGGGGAGAAGAGTTTGAGCAAAGCGGAGATTTTGGTCCATGCTAATGAATATATACAAGAGCTGGAAGAGCAGATGAGGGTCTTGGAGGAGAAGAACGATGAGCTGGAGACATGTCTTGAGGGATGGAAGGCACGAGACTCGAGGTTAGGAGACGCAACCTCATCGTCTTCTGGGTGTGAATCGTGATGCCTTCCTACCTAGACTCTAGAGTGGAGTGGTTTCTCGTACTGGAGCATCTGGATGATGAAACTCCATTAGCGACAGACATGAGTACTTGATGAAAATAGAGTTTTGGCAATACTAAATATATCATATCCCTTCCGTGTCCATCCGAGCTGGAATGTACGGAGACGGAGACGGAGTACTGGATTTCGACTACCGTAGTTGACTTGAACGGAGCGGAACTTTTGCTCCGAGGTGTGGAGTCCCAAAGTTTGCCGAGGTCGCTAAGGCCCCCTAAATGCATTCTTACTGTACAGAGCAGGAGCTTGCTCCTGAGATAGGGCACAATTTGGAACTCAATGCCTCTTTAGTCGGTGTTTCTCTATACATTCTATTCCATTCTTTCAAACCCCCTTAAATTTACCTTTCAAGCTCAGCTCGCGTGTGCAAGACAAAGTCTTCGCATCTCACTCAGACACTGTACCCGTAACTCGTCCTTCATAAGAAACGCTCTAGAGGTCTACATAGCTTCATACGAAAGTAGGAAGGAAGAATCGAAAAAATATCTCCTATTGTAAGAAACAGCTAGTCAGCATGCGTAAAAGTTCTGCTCGTTGTGTCCATGTTCTCAGTACATCATAACTCTTCACCGAAGATTAAAATGATATTGCAAGAGCGGAGCTCCCCAGGGATCCCCAAGATCATATATTATATTACATACGTCACGACCGGAAGATATTTCAACCCATGCGTGTCCAAGGTGAGAATTAGGAGGTGTACTCCGTAGCTTGTCAGGAGCTCCCATCCCGCCCCGTCGCACTAGACTTATATAAACTCCTATATCAACCTACTTACTACTTTAGATAGGCACCTACCTTATTATTCTCTTCGTTTCCGACTATCAATGTAAAAACCTCGTACAGTATCTAGCTGACTAGTCTAACTAAAAATAAAAATCTTTAAATAAATGTCTAGCTAGTCCTGTCCAGAGGAAGTAAACACAAGTAGTTAATACTATCAAATC